AAACAAACAAACAAACAAACAAACAAAAACAAAACAAGTGATTGCAAAGACAATAGCCTGTATCAGACGCACCTTAGTCTCCAGAGAGACACCATTGCTCTTCAGTACTTTGATAGTTGTTTATTTACAAAATTCAAATACATTGTTTTCCAGAACAGATTCTTTCCATTTCCTTCACCTCCCATCCACCCTTCAAATTGTACAACTCCACGATTACCACCCCCCCCCCGCCCCCGCACATCCTCTCTACCTCTTAACCTCCCTAACCTGGATCCATTAGGTCTCTCTTCCCCCTACTAGGGAGGGAGCCAATGTAGGGAGTCTCAGGAAGTAATCAGCTCACAGGTAGAATGAGTGGAGCAGTCCAATTTGGAGAAGCTGCTCAAGAAGCCAGAACAGATGGCAGATGGAGCCAGGCTTTGTCTTCTAAAGCCCACTAAGGTTTTGGGGATTCTAAAACAGGCAATTCCTATGACAGCCCCTTTTTAGACCCTAAGCCTTTCCCCAGCACCAACAATGGATTTGGCCCTTGCCCAACATTTAGGGCTCAGTCACTCCCTCATGGGAATTGCCTGGCACCAAGAGGGGTGATTAGTGAACAGAGAGTCCAGCTTCTGTCCCCATTCCCAGTGACTAGGTGGTTATCACTTGACTTGTCTGGGCCTCCGTTTCTCTATCTGTAAAACTGAAGAATGAACTTCCCTTCTCATAAAACAAGAAAAAAAAGGAGGTGTATCTTGGAATGCTTCCCGGAGAAGGGACCAACTGAGATTAACTAAAGCTGCCAGGTATCTGTCAGAGTGAAGGACACTACACCCCCGCCTCCTCAAGTATTTCAGGATAGTCCTGCTGTTCTCTTATCTTTACACCCCCCCCATAATAATCATCATCATCTCCAGTAATAATAATAATAATAATAATCTACAAATAATCCCAACTCACTGCCATCAAGTCTCAATCAACTCAGAGTTTATTGATCTTTCGGTGGGTATTTCAAGAGAGGCTGTAAACTGCACGAGAAATTTTCCATCTTTCTCCAGTGAACCAGCTGGTGGATTCGAACTAGCTGCCTTTGGGGGTGGCAGCGCACTAGGCCACCGGAGCTCCCTCTATACGATCAATAGTACCCCCTGAATTTGGTAATTTTCCCTATAAAGAGCTTAGAACCTGGCACGGGGTGTGTTACATCGTGGTTGTTGCTAGCCTGTGGGTTGAAGGGAGGAAGCCGACCCTTCCCTCCCACCTCGAGTGAATGGTGCGCAAGGCTGATCCAGGTTCCATGCAAATCTGGAATTCTTGCCAGGAACCTGTCCAGGGCGGTTCAGCCCGACCGCTCCACAAACACCGGTGGGGGCGTGGCCTGCGGGGAGTGGCTGGGGGGGCGCCCTCGGGCACCTCCCTGACCTCAGGCTCCTCCTCCCACCCGACTCCCCGCCCTTCACACTGTCCCGGGAGAGGCGGGGCGGCGGCGGCCACCGCGGAGCGCAGGAAGCCTGGCAGTGGCCGGCCGGGAGGAGAGGGAGGGAGGAGCAAGCTTGGTGGGGGCTTGGGCGGCGGACTTCCCCGTGTAGTACCGCGCCGCTCCGCCCCGGAGTGACGCCCTCCGCCCATGGGCCTGGCCGGGGGCAACCGGCGGGCGGCGTGGAGGAGGAGGCTGCAGCGGCAGGTGGCGGAAAGCGGAGCCAGAGCCGGGCCGGGCCATGGCCACCTCGGAGCGACTCTACGAGTTATGGCTACTGTACTACGCGCAGGTGAGCCCGCCCCGTCCCGCGTCTGCAGGATCCCCCGCGCCCCACGCGCCCCGCGCTTGCTGCACCTGCGCCCCGCGCCGCGGACACCGCCGACGTGAGCGCGCGCGCCTGGCGCGCTCCGGCTCCGCGCACACGTGTGCGTCCCTGGCCCGCCCGGTGCCTGTGACATACGCTACTAGGGGAGGACTCTCCTTAGAGTCATGCGAGAGGAAAGGGGCTTGAGGCTGGACAGATGGACGAGTTCTTCCCCTTTTACATACGGGGGAAAGTGAGGCCGGGAGAGAACGAGAGACGGTTTGTGTTAGGGGAGGAAGGAAAAGTCATAGTTTGCGTTTGGACTCCCTGTCCGGTGATCGCGACCTAGCTGGGCAGTCTTAACTGACAGATTTGAGGATAGACTGGGGGCAGGGGGTTCTACCATAGGTCTGTCTTGAGTCATCCCAACCCTCCCCACCTACGAAGGGGTGGCAATAAGGCCACCCACCATCATAACTGGGTGGACTTGAGACCTCTCCAGTAGCTGAAGAAAAGGTTTTCCCAGGGATGTTGGCTTAGAGGGGGCCAAGAGACGTTTCTGAGAGGGAAGGATGAAGACTCCTTCCCTTGGAGCACCTCTCTGTTTCAGAGGCCACTTCAGGTGGCCTTAGAAAATGAGGAGTGACTCTGATGCTCCTGTCCCCTCAGGACTAAAAACCTGATGTCCTCAGACTCTGTCTCATGCACGTTAAAATTCCCCCCCTTTCACACTCAAAGCAGGGAGGGTCCCAGGGTCATGCCCCACCTCCCAGCCTCACCAGCACCAACCTCCCTCCCTGCACCTGCCTGGCATCCTGCTCCTGGCTCAGGTGTGCCCTGGACACAATAGGCCATTGTGTGTCCCTCATTTGCTCGTCACTGGAGAGAAGTTAACGCTTAGACCGACTGGCCCTCCATCTGAAGGAGCTGACCGACTTCCTCTGGGCTGTCAGCCTGGTCTGGGGACCTAGAATCCTGGCTGTCAGGGTCACAAGCTCTCTAGCCCACTCAGAGTGTGAGTGGTCCAGGCCCATGGCGGGGGATAGTGCATAAAGTCCTCTTCACTGTCACCTGAGCGGGTTCTCTGCACCTCTGAGCTTTCTTTGCCCTCTCGGTAAACTTGGCATGGCCCTGGCCTCTGAGACAGCCTGGCTTTGCAGAAGCATAGACAGAAAAGACACCTACTCCCTTAGTCCCCTTGCATTCCCTCACCTAAGCCTCTGTTTCCATCTTCAAGAGTTGGTTCCTAAGTGAAGCTTCTGGATTTAGGGAAGAAAGACTAAATTCTTGTTGTTAACAATGAACAAAATGCTTTCCTACAGAAAGGAAAAAACGGTCCTGATAAAGAAGAAAAGGGTCTAATGGCCCTTGTGACCATGAGCAAGTCCTCGGTCCTTATTTTTTCACCTGTGACCAAGTGAAGGGAGTTAGAGCCATGTAATGAGTCTTAGGGATGGAAGTTGGTGTGTCTTCAGATGGGGCGGCAGATTGCCGGGGGAGGTGAAAGACGTCCTGATACAGTCCTCTTGGTCTGTACCTCCAGTGTGGTTGCCTCCTGCTGTTCCTTATAGCTGAGCTCTGCATCTGAACAGCCAGCCCCTTTACCTTCCTATGAGGTATTTAGTGCTGATGATGCCTGTGCTGGTCCCCCCTTCCCAGCATTCCATCTCACAGGGCATGTTTGGGGCACAGGCTGGTCGATTGTGGCCTTGAGAGTCTGGGCAGGCAGAGGACAGCCTGGGCCCCGGCAAACAAATCCAGGATGTGAGTGTAAACCCAGGAGCCGGGTGGGGCTGGGCTGCCTGAGGAGAGGAAGCTACAGCCTTCCAGCGCTGCCTTCCTGCCTGCCTGGTCCTGCTCCCGGAACACTGTCCCCACCCCCGTGGTGCTGGATTCCTGGGGAGGTGTGGCTCTGTGCAACCTTAAGCCCTAGTAGAGACCCATGGTGGGGATGGGAAGGGGCAGCATAGAGGATGTGAAGAGACCTGAATGGACCTGATACCTGACCAGGCAGCCAGAAGGCTCCTCCACACCTGGGCCCCTCCCTTCAGCTGTGAGAGTTGACATCAGCTGGTAAACCTGTTTCCCTAGTTATGGGTCTGGGAGGGTGGGGACCCTAGGGAGTACCCCCTCCCATTATTGCACTTCCTCTTCTCTCCAGGACTCCAGGTTAAACCCATCCACCTCTGCCTGCACACACATAGTCCTTGAACCCTGCTTTGCTGGGGGGGGGGCATAGAACAGGCAGGGGGACTGTGGGTGGTTACTAAGGGCAAGAGCAGAGGTCAGTTGGAATGCCCTAGACATGACTCTGTTGGACCCCTTCAGGGCCTTAGTTGGGAGACCAAGGCAAGGATATACCAAGGGCATCTTGTACCCTCATTCTCTTTGCCATGTCAACTGTTTCCTGGCAGCTGGAATTCAGCAAGTGCTCCTTGAGCATTGCTAAGTGACAGCATTGAGGAAATAGGTCCAGGGCAGTGCTCAGAGAAGAGCTTCAAAGGTAACTGAGTTTGAATTGAGCCTTGAAGGCTAAGGAAATAGGAAAAGCAAAAGCAGTAGAATAAACCAGAGATAAACTGCCAGGATGGGGGGTGAGGGGAAGAAAAGAAAAAGAGGTTGCTGAGAGAGGAGGTTTGGTCGATAGGTGGGGGCACATCGAGGGGATCTTGAATTCACCAGGGTTTTCACAGGGAGGGTATGTTGGGAGCAAGGCTTAGGAGGTGACTGGGAGAATAAGGGGACTGAGGACAGCATGGAGGTGGGACAGCATGTAAAAGTTATACAAAGTAGCATGCAAATGAGTGCCCCTTTTCAGGCTAAGTGATGGTGTTGCTTAACAGCCCCCCAATGAAGAGGGGCCTTGGAGGGTGTAGAGGGCAAAGGGCAGGGCAGGACAAGAATTCCAGTTACAGATGGGGAGCCCAGGCAAACCCTCCTACCTGTCTAGCTTTGGCATTGAAGACTCAGGATTCACGGAGCTCCGGGCAGAGCCACTGTTTCCCACTCAACCCTCAACCTCTCCCTGTCTCCTGGAAACTTTGGCCAGGCTCCCTGCTGCTGCTGGGACCTTAGCTGGGTCATGTTCCTTCCTGGACCTCAGTTTACCTTCTTGTAATGGGGATAAGGGATGTGCTGGTGGCTTAGTGGTAAGGAGTTGCACCGTCAACCCAAAGGCACAGGGCTCAAGTCCACCAGCTGTTTTGCCAGAGGAAGATGAGCAGTTTCCTCCTGTGCAATTAATTGTCTCTGAAAACGCACTGAAGGGTCGGCTATGGGCTAGTTCCAATCAGATGATACTTAACAACAATGGGGATAATGAAGGTGAGCTAGCTTCCTGAGTTGCCCCTCAGAAGGGCACCTTGGGGTTTCTGCTTCCTTGTCTTCACTACCAAGGTAGCTGAAGGGCGAGGGTTGCAGTGATGGGGATGTGAGCATAGAGACCAGCACTGGGGGAGGGATGGGTAATCCTGGAGTTGTTATGGCAACTGGGGAGCTGATGGGGAAGTGTAGGGTACCCATGGAAACAGGTTGGTTACTATGGGGACTCTGGAAGGAAATCCTGGTTTGCATAGTGATATGACAAGCGAAGCCTTAAATCCTGGAGATTATTACAGAGACAAGGAGGTCCAGCCCTTTCAAAACCCTTTCACCTGAGAGATTGCCCAGCCATCTGGGCATGCCTACCACTGTCCTCAGTTGTCCCTGCCCTTAGCAAAATTCCCATCTTCCTGACTCATCCTGTAGCTGGAATTCCTTCAAGTCTGAACTTCCAAGATAGGCAAAAGCTACCTTGGACTCGGCATTGACCTCCTCCTCCTGATGCTGGGTAGGGACGCCAGGCTTTCTGAAACAAACCGCTCAACCTCACCATCTGTCTCATCTGTTTGCCTCTTCTCAGAGACAGGGATCTCTCTACCACTAGGGAGGCCCGACTGGGAGGAGTCACTCCTCATTGATCTGTATCTATTCCCCTTATCTCCAGCCACAATATTCCACTAACCCTGCCTCGAACAGCCAGCTGGGGAGTGGCCCAGGACCCCTCTCCTCTGCCTGTGAGGCAAGATCTGCTACTCACCTGTTATTTTAGGGAGGAGAATGCCAGGGGCTTGGGAAGGGGAGAACACCTGGATTTGAGAGTAGAAGGCCCTCTCACCTTATCCTGATTAGATACTAGGTGGTGATAACGCAACTTATACCCATTAAGCAAAAAAGGGATGGTTTTGAAGTGATAATCTAGGCTGAAAGAGGCCAAGAAAGAAATGCTCTGGAGTGTGCTAGGACTGGGTCTGGACTCCAGAACAGCTGATGACCCTCAATCTTGAGGTTCTCTGGGCACCATATGGGTGGGACTTGGAAAGCATACCAGTCACTGATGGGAGTATTTGGACAGATCCCATCTGGAGAGTAAAACCCATGCAGGCTTGTGGGGATGTGGAGGGATTGCATGCCTTGGTCTGTGGCATGCCAAGGCTGGAGCTGCAGTGGGGTCACCCATGAAGGGCTTTGCATGATGGAGAAGGCTGTGACCTTGCTTTCCAGACAGGAGTTAATGGTAGGGTGGGTGAGTAGATGGGCCGAGATGGAGACAGATGTCTCCTGGAAACACTGCGCTGTTTAAGACTTTCCCCACATCGCCCTGTTGAGAACCAACCGTAAGTGAGATGGCAGTGGGGTAGGGGTGGATATGGAGTTTGAAGTGAGGCAGGCTAGGGCTGGTGTCAAGATAGGCATGGTCTGGGGACAGCATAGATAGTTGGCATCCCGGTAGTATGTATTCCGGAACACCTTCAATCCTCTGGGGAAGTGGCAATTCCATGTCAGAGACTGTAAAGACTTAACCTGCCCTTAGGAGCCCCCCTTCTCCCCTGAGTTCCCCCAGAGCTGGTTGGATATGGCTGTGGTGTTGTTACAGGGGTGACCAGGAAACTCTCCCTTCCAAGGACATTGACACCCAATGCTCAACCCCACAATCCCCTCCCTACCCCTGGGCCTTGACAGCACTTATGGACCCAAGAGGAGGATATGGCTCCTGGCCTGCCCTCAGGACGACCAGGGTGTGGTGGGACCTAGCCTAGGGAGGTTGGGCCTTGAGTTGGACCTACCCTGCCAGTGACAAGGAGGGAGGGTCAGGGAAGGAGGAGCCAGCCAGAACAGCAAGCGGCGTGGGGAGCCCGAGCACCACAGTCACCCCTTTTGGGCTCCCGACACCGCACATAATCCTTTCACCATGCTCAAGACCCCCTGCCCTGCTTTGCCTCCCGGCCCCAGCGCCTGCAGGGGCTCCTGTCCTCCTCACCACTGCAGCCTGAAGTCACTGAGTCCAAGTCAAAGCTGGGCTGAGGCATCCCAGGGAGAAGAGGTGAGACCCACAGAGGTAGGAGGGCCAGCTGCCCTCATCCCTTATCTGGTGTGGGCTTGCAGACCCCTAAAGCCCCCTCCAAAGCCCAGGGCATCTGTCTTGATTACCTTGAGCCTCGCCCAGCCCAAACCTGCAGGAAGTATGCAGGACTGGACGGGCGGGGGGTGTGGCTCTGGGCAGGGGAAGTGGGAGGGGGCAGAGTCTGAGGGATCCGCCCCGGTCTGGGAAGACCGGCCTGTAAGCAGTGTAGAATGGGAAGTTGCTGCTGAAAGCTCAAACCAGGGAAGGCAGGGGATAGAGTGGGCAGAAGCCTGGACAGATGGACTTGAGTCAGAGGGGATGGATGGACTTGGGGGGCAGGCGGCCTAAAAAAAAAAAATACCGCAATCAACACCCAGGACTTTATAGGGTGGAGGACAACATGATCCTATTGGAGCTTTCAGATGCTCTGGTTGAAGCTGCAGCAGGCAAAGATCATCCCCCCTGTGGATGAGATATAATGAGATGTAACTTGAGTGGGTGTGGTTTTGGTGGAAAAGAGGGGAGAATGGTGTAGAAGAGAGGGAGAGAGACTAAACTGTTGGGTCACTGAGTCAGGGGCCAGGTTCCATGGTCCGCTTGGACCAGGTAATCAGCAACGATGCGTGATCCTATCCAGACACGAATAATCTGTTCTTAGCAGTCTCGAAGGCGTAGCTGAAGCCATGACTGCACAGGAGGACACTGTTTCCCCATCTGGGGTGACAGGAGTGCAGCAGTAATGGCCCAGGAGCCCTGGCCAGCTCTGGCTTTGCAAGGTTTGAGCCTTTGGTTTTCCTTGCTGGTTAGTGAGTAGGGCAGGTATGGACAAGTGAGCACAAAGGCTGGTCGTGGTGGAAGGCGGAGAGGTCAGCACGGTTGGCAGACATCCCAGTGAAATGGGCTGGCACGTTGGTGGCACAAGTTACTCCCTCGGTTGCCTGGGTCTCAGATTTTGGCTAAAATGCACGTGGAAAGGACCCAGCCATGAGGTGGAGGGTCTCTCCTTCGCGGCTCATTTAGGTCTGGCCTTGTGGCCAGCAGGCAAAACTTAGCCATTCACCCAAAGGCAGTTCTGGTGACCTGTGAGCATGTGCGTTCAGGGCACCTTCCCCATGGCCGCTGACTGAGATGTGTTTCTTGCCTCTTCACCTCCACCTCTGGCCCTGGGAAAGAAAGTTGGCCTCTGGGTGGGGCCTCCAACACGGGTGTATGCCGGGAGGGTGTAAGGAGTTCATGTCCAAGGCCCCCAGCCACCCTGTGCCCTGGGGAAGAGAGTGAGAAGCAGGGACTACTTAAGGGCCAAACTAAGACCGACTCAGTGGTGTGTATGTACCCCAGAGCAGAGACAGACTGACAGGGTTAGCAGCGCAACACCCTGTGGACACCCTATGGACTAGGCCACCAGAGCGCCTAGAGGTGACTCCAGGTCAGCAAGGTGCAGGTGCCTGAGTTAGGACTAGATGGCCCAACTAGATAGGCCCCGCCCCTGACCCATAGGCGCTGCCCTCAGCCAGACCGATTGGTCTCTTGCCTGCAAATCCCACCTCTCTGGGCTGTAGCACCGCCCCCTTTCATTCAGGCCCCGCCCCCACGTGGCTTCCCACAGCCTCCCTTGCTGCGCTCTGGGTGCCTCGGCTGCCCCCCCACATCCCTGCGGTCTGCCGGGAGGAAGCGGCCTCCCTCCCCCACCGTGACTCTGCGCTTCCTGCCTGGGCCCGGGGCGGGAGGGGACATTTCCCGTTCGCACCAAAGTTTCCTTGGCGGCGCCCAGACTGGGGCCCAGCCACTGCCCCTCTTGGTGCCCATGGAACCAGCTCTGTGGCCTGGGGTCCAGGTAACCAGTGAGGGTGGGCGGAGGTTCCTAGAGTGTGGGCAGGATGTTCTGCCACGATGCCAGGCAGGTGTGTGTGTATATGCTTGTGTGTGCATCACTATATACGCGTGCATTGAGGTTTGTGCGTACACAAGTCTAAGAGTCCAGTGGTGCGCATGCGTCTTGGGATGTGCAATCAAGGAAGGCTTCGTGGAGACGGCAGCAGCTACTGAGCTGGGGAGAAGGTGCAGGCCTGAGCCCAAGCCTTAGTGTAGGGGCGGCTTTTGTATGAGAGAAGTAATTCAGCCCCAGCTTCAGTGTGAACCACAGCCACACAGCAGGTCGGGACACTCTCCAGCACCTCCCCTGCCCATTTCGGGCCTCCCTGGGACCCTCAGGCTTAGAGAGGTGGGTGTGGAGACTGAAAGGAACAGATGGAGGACCTGGAAGGAATGATCATTATGCCCTGAAATCCTCTCATGTTGACCTTCCAAGTTCCTATCCTCATTCCTCCCCTCTCCATTCCTTACTCTTTGGCCCCAGTACCCCAATCCTTATCGATCCTGTTTCCTTATCCATCCATCCTCTGCCCCCTGCACCCCTCTACTGCTCATCACTGTTCTCCTGACTCCTTTGCCTGTAGAAGGACCTGGCCTACCTGCAGCAGTGGCTGAAGGCCTTTGTGGGGACCTTCGACAAGACCATCTCACTGTCTTCCCTGGAACCTCGCAGGTGAGGCGGGAGCAGCTGCATGGGGGCCAGGACCTGGGTCGGAGCGCCTGGGGGGTTCAGGCCTCTCTGACCCCACTCTCTGCAGGCTGGAGGAGACAGGCGCTGAGGTGCCGCTGCTGCCGCTGGATGCTCTGCACGTGCTGGCCAAGCAGCTGGACCATGAGGACCTGGAGCAGGCCCTGCTGTTGCTCAAGCTCTTCATCATCCTCTGCAGGTGAGCCCCTGCTTTCTCCTTCAGGAGAGTCGTGTGGAACCAGAGGCCTGAGGGCAAGGAGGGATACAGCGCATCACTGTGACTTCTCCTACCATTTGTTCTCCCAGGAACCTAGAGAACGTTGAAGCGGGCTGGGGCCTGGTGCTGGTGCCCCGGGTGCAGGTGCTGCTGACCAGCTTGGTGGCCGAGGTGAGGGGGCTCCACCTTGGAATGCGGAGGCTAGGTGGTAGCCACAGCCAGGCTAACTCGCCCCTCCATTCTCTCTCCCACCACTGAATATAGCTGAGAGGACCAGCATCCCCACAGGAGGGCCATGGACCCCATCTGGAGTGTGTGGCCTTACATGCTCTGCTCCTCTGTGAGGGACTTTTTGATCCTTACCAGACCTGGCGACGCCAGCACAGTGGGTAAGACTCAGCCCACTGACCTGGGACACCCCTTACCCTAGGAAGGTGGGCAGAGCATGGCTGTGGGGCGGGGGGGGGGAGGGCAAAGGCAAAGGTGTGGCAATGAGCTGAGCTTGGGTGCTGGCCTGGGAAGGGAGCGGACCATGGAGGGGTGAGCCCAGGCTGGTGGGTATCAGTGCCGGCCTCACCCTCCTCCTGCCCACCCCGACTCACAGGGAAGTCATCAGCTCCAAGGAGAAGAGCAAGTACAAGTTCCCTCCTGCTGTTCTCACCCCTGAATTCAGCGCCTTCTTCCAAGGTCAGGCCCCTCCCCTGGTCCCAGAGCCCATCTCTACCTTTAGTTCCCCAACCCCAAACCTGGAGGGCAGGACCAGAGCGATGGGGCCTGCACCGGGCTGAGAGGGCCACAGGGCTTGGAGAGAGCTTCTAAAGACTAAGTTCAGGTGCAGAAAGCAGGTATTAGGGGCATGCCTGGGCAAAATGGATACTTTCTTCATCTGGAATGTGGACCAACAAGGAGAGGGGGGCATCTTCCTTGTCTCAGTCCCTCATCCTTTTCCCCTCTTTTTCCTGGACTGTCTTAAAATTTCTTATTTACCTACTCTGACCTTGTAGCCTCCAGCCTGTCTCCACTCCTCAGGGCAGCATTTATAATGAAGTCTCTACCTGCTGCCCCCACATTCCCATTTGATCCCCAAGGAGCTGACCCCTAAGGACACCTCTGACCATCTTTTATTCTCTCTGGTGACCGTCTTCTCTCAAGTCCCTGGGAGCATCTCCTGTCCTGGAATTGTCACTCTGACTCCAGATACTGCGTAGTTCATGGCATGTCACAGGAATCCCAAGACATATCCCAGTCTGTTCTGTGTGCCATAGATTTGGAAGCGACCCATGGCTGGCCCTCTAGTAGGTTTTCAGAGGTAGTAAATTGCACGGAAGGAGATTTCCCATAAGACCACCACTTTCTCCCATCCAAGAAACATCTCACTCTGAGCCCACCTCTAATCCTGGTCCCCCTTTGAGCTCCTGGCCTCTATTTGCACGACAGTCTAAATCCTCTTCTTATCCTAGATTTATGGTGGCCTGTTGCCCTCAGGTTCAAATCTTTCTCCCCACAGCCTTCCTCATCCCAGTCATGTTCCCAACCTCTCATCCCTAGAAAGCAGCTGTTGTTGTTGTGTACTGTACAGTTGGAATTGACTCATAGTTGACCCTACAGCCGGTTTTCAGAGGCAGTAAATTGCACGGGAGATTGCCCATCTTTCTCCTGTAGAGCAGCTGGTGAATTTGAATCGTGTGCCTTTGGATTGCAGCCCAGCTCCTTTACTAGGCAACCAGAACAGAAAGCAACTATCTAACTAACTAACTAGCTATCTCATTTCAAATCTGTACACATATGCTTCCTTTTTCCTTCACTGGCCAACTGTGTCCTTAAGCCTCACCTCTGACACTTTGTTTCCTGGAAGGCGCCCACCCATTCCACCTGAATTCCACCAGCCCTGCTGCTAGCTGTTCTCCAACAACCCCCCTGTGACCCACAGCTGGTCTCTTCTGTTCTCCAGGTTTCAGTCTGTAGCCTGACCTCCTGTCCAGCTTTGCTAGAGCCAGGCCAGGTGGCCCTTCCCCATATGAGTCTGTGAAAGTCCCTAAAGTCCCTGGTAGGGCTGGAGGAGGGGGAGGGAGGCCATCTGTAGAGTAGACAGAGCAGGGTCCCCAGAGCAGGGTGGGGGTGCAGGTGAGACTCTAACGGACTTGTAGTGGCACAGGGAGCAGATTTGCATCTGAGAAGCTCAGCCCTGGGTCACTGTGGGAATTGGAGGACATCTGCCTTCCTCGGATTCCCCAGCGTAGCACTGTGGTGTCTTTGACACCCCACATGGCGGGACTGTGGTCCTTCACACCTCCCAGGGCAGAGCCAGGCCCCTCTCAGATTGGGCCTCCCATTCCTGCTACTTGTCTCACCCTCCCAGCTCACCCAGGGCACCCACTTCTTGTGAAGCCCCCTGGGCCTCACCATCTTGGTGATAGTATCCTGCTTCACCCTCTCCCATCCAGAGAGCCTTCAGGATGCAGATCGCCTACCGCCCACACTGCTGTTACGCCTTGTCCACCTCTTCGGTGCTGTTCTTGCAGGAGGGAAGGTAGTTTGGGACATGACCTCTAGGGTGGAGAGTGGGCGCTTCAGGCTCTTTGCTGGGTGAGCCTTGGGCCCACTGCCTTTCTGCCCACTCATGCAGGAGAACGGTCAGATGGCTGTAAGTGCCGGGTCTGTGCAGGGCCTGCTGGGTGTGGTCCGGGCGTGCGGCCGTGGGCCCACCCAGGACCCCCGTCTGGTGCCACTGGCGTTGGAGGCACTGGTGGGTGCTGTCCACGTCCTGCACACCAGCCGCACACCTCCTCGAGGGCCAGAGCTCCGGGCCCTCCTTGAAGGCTACTTCCGTGTCCTTAATGCTGACTGGCCGACTGGTCTGCGCCCAGGCCCTGAAGAGACGCTCATCAGCCTTCGGGTCAGCATGCTCGGTGGGTATGAGCTCCCAGGTCGTGAACAGTGGGGTTCTGGGAGGAGAAGGCCCAAGTGAAGATGGACAGGCTGGATTGGGCAGCCTGGGGAAGAAGGATTAGGACAGCCCAGGAATGCTAGCAGGGGCATTGGACAACTTGACCTTTGACCTCTCCACAGATGCCATCCCTGTGATGCTGACATGTGAGGACCGGCCAGTGCTGCAAGCCACCTTTCTCAGCAACAATTGCTTCGAACACCTCACTCGCCTCATCCAGAACAGCAGGGTGGGTGGGGCCCAGGCTGGGGATGGAGGGGGCCATACCTGAGTCAGAGGCAGGGGGCCCACACCTGGGTACAGAGCGAGGTACACACGGACTGAGCCCAGCTGGGGCTTCCTGGCAGGTGGAATGACACGGAGTCCAGTGGGTGGGCTGGGGCATACATGAGGGCCTGGCCTCAGTGTTTCTGCAGGGGCTGGGCCTGGGTTCAGGACAGCTCTTTGTGCCTTAAGGGATAAGATACTGTGTAAGGCAGAAACTGGCCTAACCCTGTTCCCTTTCCCTGTCCTAAGTACAGGGACACAAGGAGGACCCAGCTGCTTTGGATGTAATGCCCCCTCCTGCCCACTTATTTACCTCCTGACTCCACCCATCTAAACTGGCCTGGGTGACTCACTGACCTTCCCTACTCTTACAGTGCCAATTAGGGGCACATGGCTGGAGCTCAGGGTTCACACTTCCATCTAGGGCAGACTGCTGGCAGCTGCCCTGAGTCCTGTTCTAACCCCACTCCCCCATCTTTCCTCCTCTTCTCTCCCCTCTGTCCCCTCTGCCCCATGCCCCCCACAGCTGTATGTGCGGGCCCGGGTGCCCCCTGAGGGGGACAGTGACCTGGCTACCCGGTTACTGACCGAGCCTGATGTCCAGAAGGTACCACCCTGGGGCTGGCCAGCTCAGGCACCCGCCTCCCTGGGGCACTCACCCCTTGCAGCACTCTGCTGAGCATTTCTTGTACCCCAGCGGGGGAATGAGCAGGTGTGGGTGAGGCCTGACATGGCCTCGCAATGGAGGTGCGTGCCCCGTGCCATCTCAGTCCCCTTCCGCGTTCCCAGCCTAGGGAACAGGGCAGGAGGAGAGGCCTGTGCCCTTGCCTGGTGCTACTGTTATGATCTGGGATCTGGCTGTGCCAGATTGGCAGGAACCTTCGAAACTTTTAACCACCCACCTCCACTCCTCAAACGGGAAAACTGAATCCCAAAGCTATAGGAACTGGGCTGCTGTCTCCCACAGGGCAGGGGGTCTTTCGGTGGCCCCTGGCCCCTGCCTTAAGCACATTTCTGAGTCCCTGCCCCCTGCTGCACGGAGCCCACAGAAGGCTGCAGGACAGCAGTGTAGAGGCCCCAGCTCTGTGGTGGCTTAACTCGCGGACCCTGACTTCCAGCGCCCTGACCTGACCTTGTCTCCATGATAATGCCACACGTCCACTGCACTTGATGTATTCTGAGAGCCTGCATGTGTCTTTGGTTGTGTCCAAACAGGCTGTGTAGTGGCAACACCTCTTTGCCCTAATTTAGGATGAGGAAATGGGACTGGAGAGAGGAAGATTACCGAGGTCACTGGGGAGTTAGGCAAAGGATCCATGGGACTGGAGCAAGGTCCAATACTTGATGGCAGACTCGTCCCTCAGGGCATGGCAGGGCTGGTGAACAGGGTGCCCTGCTTATGGGGTTCAGCCTGGGTGAGCCTCCGTGTCCTCATCTGGATATAGAAGGCAAGGGGAAGAGTAGGACTCAAAGGTTTCGAAGGTTCTTCTGGTTGTGATTCCCTGTGATTGATTGTCGCTCCGTTCCCCAGCCCTCGTCAATCATGGGTGATGGGCACTTGGCCTGCCTGCACGCGTGTGTCTAACCTGGGAGTGGGGCAGGGGCTGGGGTCTCCAACCCCCAGAAAATGGCGGTGTGGGCGAGTGCAGCAATGAGTGTTCTCCGTCAGTCTTGAGACCCTTCCCCAGCCTTGGGGTTTTCTTTCCCCCTGGCCTCCTCTTCAGAGTGGGCCTTGCAGAACTGCCCAGTGAGGACCCAGCAGTTGGGGCGAAGAACAGAGCAGAGCCTGGTACCCATACAGGGCTGCTGATCCCCCCTGCACTCCGCTGCCTCCCTGGGCCATGCATTCCTGGCCCTGTACCCCCGTTTTCTGATGGTTGCTGCCAGCTGCAACAGCCTGGCTCCAGTTTTTCCTCACGGTCCCTCTCTACCCCCAGGTACTAGACCAGGACACAGATGCCATCGCAGTCCATGTCGTCCAGGTGCTGACTTGCATCATGAGCGGGTCCCCCTCAGCCAAGGTGAGGACCGCTGCATGCTGGCTGCAATAGGGGGTGAATGGAAGTGGAGGTGATCTCAGGTCCCTTGACTGGCTGATGGGGACCCCTCTGTCCCCTGCCCCCCTGCAGTAGAGCAGGTGACTGTCCTCCTGTCCTCTAGGGGGCAGTCACTGAGTGGGTGTGCTTATTGGTCAGTCCTAGTAGCTATAAAGTCTGGTTCAGAGCTGGGTGATGGAAGGACGCCTGAGGGCTGACCGTTGTTCGTGGCCTTTTGAAGTGGCTCTCATCAGCCTCTGAGACTCAGAGCCAAAACAGGGGACCCCAAAAGACAGTGCCCCTCCAGCAGTTCCAGGTGGTGTGAGTTTACTGTGAGGCTCACATGACTGCTGCCCACTCTTCCCCACCCACCGTGCCAGGAGGTGTTTAAGGAGCGCATCGGCTACCTGCACCTGCAGGAGGTTCTGCAGAGCCACGGCCCTCCCACCCATCGACTACTGCAAGAGCTGCTCAACATGGTGAGGGCAGGGGTCCGGGGTGGCTGGTCGGGCTGCAGTAGGATCAGGGCCCCCACGGCAGGGTCCCCTCCTTAGAGGGCCGTGAGAGTGGTCAGTACAGTGTGAGTCCTGTGACTTGACCACGTGTCATCCTCACTGAGATGAGGATTCTGGAGTTTCCTGGAGCCCTGGAAGCCGCTGAGTGTTTCCAAGCCTGGGGTTAGGGCAGTCTCGTGGCCTCAGAGGCCAGCAGGGTTGTGTTGTTTTTTTTTTGTTGTTGTTATTTTTATTATTATTTTTTGTGTGTGTACCGTCAAATCAGATCTGACTGGTACAGGAGGAGATTGTCCCTCCTTCTCCAGCAGAGCATCTGGTGGATTCGAACCACTCACCTCTGGGATTGCAGTGCAGCTTCTTACCACTAGGCCACCAGGGCTCGCCGAGGCCAGCAGTTTTGAAGGACTGTTAGAAGCGATGCTCATCAGTTATTCATGTGCTTCCCTTTCTGAGGCCCAAACACAGCTTGTGAGCTGGATGGGGTAGTGCTTTTTGCTTTCCCATACTGTAGACAGGTAAACCGAGGCAGGAAATCTGCCTCACTGTTGGCAAGGTGTCCTGTGCAGGGCCACCTTTGCCCAGGGACTGTGACATTCTCTCCCCCTTCACAGGCTGTGGAGGGCGACCACAGCACGCACCCACCACCCCCGATTCGCAACGAGCAGCCCGTGCTAGTGCTAATGCGGTGGCTGCCAATGCTGCCCACGGCCGAGCTGCGTTTCTTCCTGGCACAGCGCCTTTGGTGGCTCTGCGACAGCTGCCCGGCCAGCCGTGCCACCTGCGTGCAGGCGGGCCTGGTGGACTGCCTGCTGGAGACCCTCAGCACCGGCCGCGCCTTGGGGGCCCGCTGCCGGGAGCAGCTGCTGGCGTTGCTGCAAGCGCTGGGCAGTGTGTCGCTGAGGCCCTTGGAGCTGCGTCGCCTGCTGCGGCCCCCACCGGGGCTGGACTCAGAGCCCGGCGGAGCAGAGGCGGGGAACGCCTGGCACGCGGGCTTCGTCATCCGTGCACTGTCGGGCATGGCCCGGCATCAGGGTCCTGTCCGTGCCCTGCGCTACTTTGACCTCACGCCGGGCATGGCTGGAATAATGGTGCCCTCTGTGCAGCGCTGGCCTGGGCCTGGCTTCACCTTCCATGCCTGGCTTTGTCTGCACCCCACGCCCGCAGCCCTTGCCCCCTCCAGGCCACTGCAGCGGAAGCAGCTCTACAGGTGGGTGAGGGCCAGGGGCATGCATGGTGCAGGTGAGCAGGCCAGCCTGCAGATTTAACCGGCTCGGCCTGTCCGCAGCTTCTTCACCAGCAGCGGCTCGGGGTTTGAGGCCTTCTTCACGGCCACTGGGACCCTGGTGGTGGCCGTGTGCACCCGGAAGGAGTACCTGACCATAAGCTTGCCTGAAGTGTCCTTCGCCGACTCCGCCTGGGTGAGCCCCCCTTCTGTTCAGGAGGTGCATGAGGGGTGGAGGGCGGTGTCAACCCCCCAGGCACGGTCTGATGCCATGGCCTCTGTTCTAGCACTGTGTGGCCATTGTCCACATGCCCGGGCGTCGGCCCTTTAGCCAGAACCTGGTCCACGTCTACAAGGATGGTCATCTGGTCCAGACAGCCCCCCTTCGCTGCCCCTCCCTCAATGAGGTACGCCAAGCCGGGTTTAAGAGCCTTGGAATTGGTGGGGAGGCTTGGATTAAGGTGTGGACTGGAGGTCTCATGTAGCACCCCCACAATCCTCAGACTTTAGACTTGGGGTCTATGCAGCTAGGGCTTCCTGGGAGGGACCAAGAGCAAGTGGAGCCCCAGGCTCTGCAGTGACCTAACCTCTCCCCTACTTCTGGCTCTGCAGCCCTTTTCCTCCTGCTGCATTGGCTCTGCCGGGCACCGTACCACGACCACCACCACAGGGCTCCCTGAGCCACTGGGCCCCACCGCCTTGGCGCACGTGCACCCCTCGCTCACTCGCTCCCAGTCAGTCCCAGCCTCCACGGGACTGGCCTGGGGGTCCGGATTGGTGGCCCCGCCGCAGGAGGGCAGCATCAGCTCCACGCTCGCGGGCACACAGGACACACGCTGGGGCAGCCCCACGTCTCTGGAGGGCGAGCTGGGGGCCGTGGCTATCTTCCATGAAGCCCTACAGGCGGCACCCCTGCGGGCCCTGTGCACTCTGGGTATGCAGCATCCCCCACCTTGTTGCCTATCCCTTACCCACTATCACCAGATCGAGGAGATTCAGACTTGAAGGCGGGGTCGAGTCAAACCCTAGGGATGTGGGGAGAGGAGAGATCTCTGGAGGTTCATCTGCTTAGACACAGAAGAGATGGGCTCTGGTTGGGGTCTGGCCAGGGGCCCCGTCAGGTCTAATGTGCCTGCTCACCTGCAGGGCCCAATGAGATGGCACCCTTCAAACCCGAGGGTGAACTGCATGAGCTCAGCACCAAACTTCTCCTCCATTACTCACCTCAGGTACAGAGTTGTGTGCGATTCCCATACCTGTACACTCGCCGTCTGTCCCCTCCTCCCTTGCCCCTTCTGACCTGCCCACCCTCCTTCCCTCAGGCCTGTAAGAACAACATCTGCTTGGACCTGTCCCCTGGTCACGGGCTGGACGGCCGCCTGACAGGCCACAGGGTGGAAACCTGGGATGTGAAGGTACCTGTATGTGCGTGTGTGTAGAAGAGGTCATGTGTGCACAGGGCAGGTTAAGGAGCAGGGCTGTACCCTGGGAGCGTTCCCTGCATCCAGGTTCCTGGGCTGGAGGGTCTGCGAGGTGGAACAGGATCCAGGTGGAGTGTGGCACGAGCTTGACTGGGAGCTGACCCCTCAGCGCTGCCTCTTTCCTCCAGGATGTGGTGAACTGTGTGGGGGGCATGGGCGCCCTGCTGCCCTTGCTGGAGCGAGTGGCCGTGCAGCCTCAAGAAGCCGAGGCGGGCCCAGCTGAGACACACGACCTCCTGGGACCTGAGTTGACCTCTGGCCACAACACCCAGGGCCTCCTTCTCCCACTGGGCAAGTCTTCAGGTCAGTATCCTGGGCATCCAGGCTGAGAAGGGGGACCATCCAGCAGGATGGCAGGGACAGGAAGACTTGAGACTCGAGTACTTCAGGTGTCTGAGGCCACCGACAGGCCCTTATCACATACCTGTCCCCTTCCTGGTGACCTGCAGAGGAGCGGTTGGAGAGAAACGCAGTGGCTGCCTTTCTGCTGATGCTGCGGAACTTCCTGCAGGGCCACCCGGTGAACCAGGAGAGCCTGATGCAGTGCCAAGGGCCCGCCATCATTGGAGCACTCCTGCGCAAGGTGGGCTTGGTCAGGTGGCAGGAGGGCTGCCCTGTGTGACCAGAGGAGCCATGTGGGGGACCAAGAATGATGAGCCCTGTGCTCCCAGGGAGAACCTTCAGCAGACGGGCGTTCGACTAGGGCCTTGAAATGAGCATTTGTCTAGGAGGGCCTGGAGAAGGGCATTCTCAGCAGAGGGAATGGCATGGGCAGAGTCCAGCTCAGGACCAGCACAGCAGGTTACATACAGCTTGCCCATTCCAAGCCAGCAGGGACCCATCAAGGTTTTCAAACCCTGTGACCATGGGCCATTGTTGGCCCACTGACAGTATGAGGAAGGCTGGAAGCTGGGAAGCCTGGAAGACACACAGGTGGGACCCTGACATGTCACCCTCACTTTGTTTCCATCCTAGGTCCCGAGCTGGGCCATGGACATGAATGTGCTCATGTCTACCCAGCTGCTGATGGAGCAGGTGGTGGCAGAGGGTGGTGGGCCCCTCCTGTACCATCTCTACCAGCATTTGCTCTTCAATTTCCCCCTCTGGACACTCAGCGACTTTGCAGTGCGTCTCGGTGAGTGAGGGTACGTTGTAGAGGGTTACAGGGTGAGGAAGAAGAGTTCGGAGAGGTTATAACCCAGCCCCACGACATCTGAGGTCCCGTGGCCCAGCTCTGGGTTCCTAAATACATGCCAAGCCAGGCCGCAGGTTTGAACCCTTTGCTCACACTCCCTCAGGTCATATCCAGTACATGTCTGGCGTAGTCCGTGAGCACAGACAGAAGCTGCGGAAGAAGTATGGGGTTCAGTTCATTCTGGATGCCCTGCGTACCCACTACAGGTGAGAGTGGTGGGGCAGATGGGTCATGGAGGGCTAACACAGTAGCCGCTGACCTTGGAAACGGGGTTGTCCCCTCCCCAGTTCACCTGTCCACCCTCCCTAATTCTCTCCTGTCTGCACCGGTTACTCTCCTTTGCCTCCAGCCCACAGCAGGAGCGCCCCCTTGTGGCCGATGATGTGCACATGGTGCAGACCTCACTTCGGGGCCTGGCACGGGAGTTCCTGGTGAGAAGCTTCTCCACCGATGACATGCAGGTGGTTCTGAGCTTCCTGGCCGCCTGCGGTGATGATGGCCAGGTAGGCTGAAAGTTTTGCAAGAGAGAGTGAGGATGATTGCCTGGAGAGGGCCAGGGCACAGCATGGGTTGAGACCGCATACTGGGGCCCAGCTCAGCTTAAGTCTTGGCATCTGCAGGTGGTAGGCATGCTGGACTTGCTGCTGGCACTGCTGCAGAGCTCACCAGCACAGGAGCTGCTGCCAGCCTTCCTTCTGGAGCCCGGGAATCTCGAGGTGCTGCTGGCCCTCCTAGTGCGGCCCAAGTCACTGCCCCAGCTGCCCGACCGAGTCTTCAAGGTACACACCACCCACGCCTGACTCTGACATACCGGTTCTTGGGGTGGTGGTACGGCTCCACAGGTGTGATGCTATAGATATAGCTGCTTTCTCAGGGCCCCTGTGCAGCCACACACCTCTGTGGTGGCTTCCCCCTCCTACAATGACACTCCCACCCTCCCCAACGCCACCCACACAGATCCTGCGCAGGCTGCAGCAGAATGAACGCTTGCCGGAGCGGAGCCGTCAGCGCCTCCGGCTGCGGGAGTGTGGTCTCCAGGGCCTCGTCGCCTGCCTGTCCGAGGGGACAGTGTCCCCACAGCTCTGCCAGGGCCTCTACAGGCTGTGCCTGGAGACAGGTACAATCAGATTGGGGCCATGAGGCAGGCTGGATGAGAGGTGCCAGGCATGCAGGAAACCGGGCAGATGGGAATAGTGAAGGTGGTGGTTGAGGGGTCAGGGCTGAGCCAACAGGGATTCCCTTTAGCGGAGTTGGTCCCTGAAGCCCTCCTCTCCTGTCCCCCCAGATTGCCTGAACCTCCCAGATCTGATGGCTGTGATGCAGCTGTCCCTCCAGGCTGACCTCAGTGTCCGCCTGGACATTTGTCGCCAGGTAAGGTGAAAGCTTGGAGGAGTGGTGGACAGCTTCGACTTGCAGGAATTGTTTTGTCTGCTCATGTTGCGGGATCCGTGGTCAGACAGTCATGTGAGGCCCTCTCTGACCCCACAGCTCTTCTACCTCATCTACGAACAGCCAGACATAGTGCGGTTGCTGGCCCGCCAGACCGGCTGGCAGGATGTGCTGACCCGGCTCTACGTCCTTGAGGCCACCACAGCCGGTGCTCCCTCACCCTTCCCCTCAGAGCCACCTACCTCCCCGGAGCCAGCTCTGCATCAGCCACCCACTGAGTCACACACCGAGCCTTCTGATGTCTTCCTGCCCTCAGAGGGCCCCTGCTCGGATGCAGATGCCTTCTACCAGGCCCTCTCCCCATTCAGCACACACTTCGACCTGAGCCTGGAGCGGACCAGTGTGAGCTCTGGCAACACTGCCGGGGGCAGCAGCAATGGGACTCTGACTCCTGCCAGCCAGCCTGGCACACCCTCTCCACTGGACGGACCCCGGCCCTTCCTGGCTGCCCACGGCCACCATAGCTCCAGCCTTTCCAATGTGCTGGAGGATGGCAGCCTCCCAGAGCCCACCTTGAGTGGGGATGACACTTCGAACACCAGCAATCCTCAGGTGAGGCGGTGCTACCCCTTGCTACCTGACACCCAGGGCCGCAGACCTCTGCGACATGGGGCTGGCAGTGTAGCCTCTCCAGGGTTGGAGCCTTGTCTACACCAGAGCTGCAGCCCAGCGCTGTTCCCTGTCACTCTCACCTGAAGTGTGTTCCCAGGTGGGGTTCCAGGAGAGAAGGGTCATGCCAAACCAGTATAGGGGTGCCAGCCAGGCTTCCTGCAGACCCCAAGACAAGCTGTAGGGCAGAGACCACACAGAACCAGAAAGAAGCAGAGCAAGGTCCTGGCTTGGCCCCTGGGCCTGCGGACAGCCTGATTCTGTGGTGCTCTTGCAGAGAATCAAGACTATTCATAGTGTGAGGACTGTGAGGCAGTTTTGTGAACTACCTCATCTCTTGAGAGTCCAGTCTCCTTTCACCTTAGACAGTAGGTGAGAGCCCTACCATGTCCTTCTAGCCCTTCAGCACCGGGCTGGCTTTTGGCTGGTTGCTTTTCCTTGTGCTGCGTCTACTAAAGAGAGGCTGGGGGAGCTCTGGTGGCCTGGGGAGCTCTGGTGGCCTAGTGGCAAGAAGCTACAACTACAATCTCAGAGGTGCGCGGTTCGAATCTACCAGATGCTCTGCCGGGGAAGGAGGGGCAATCTCCTCCTGTACCAGTCAGATCTGATTTGACAGTACACGCACACAAAAAATAAAAAAAAAATAAAAAAAATTTAAAAATAAAGAGGCTGAAGGTGCCAAGGGGGGCGGGGATGGTGGTGGGAACAGCTGGAGGTCCTCCTTCCCCAGCCCTTGGTTCACACCCTTGACCTGTTCCCACAGCAAACGTCCGAGGAGGAGTTGTGCAACTTGCTCACCAACGTGCTCTTCTCAGTGACGTGGCGAGGTGTGGAAGGCAGTGACGAGGCTGCCTGGCGGGAGCGGGGCCAGGTCTTCTCGGTGCTTACCCAGCTGGGGGCCTCGGCCACACTTGTGCGCCCACCAGACTGCATCAAGCGCAGGTAGGAGGGCAGTTCTGGAGGTCAAGGGGCCCAGGGAAGCCTGAGGGCGAGGAAGGCAGTCAGGTAAGTGCGTGAGTCTCTTGCCTCCCTGCGTGCAGCCTCCTGGAGATGATGCTGGAGTCAGCTCTGACAGACATCAAGGCAGCCTCGCAGGGTGTGCTGGCCAACCTCACCCAGCAGGTGCTTTGGCTGCTGCGGCTGCTGCAGGACTTCCTGTGTGCAGAGGGCCATGGAAACCAGGAGCTGTGGAGTGAGAAGGTAGGTGGCTGGGTCTTCCGGATGTTAGCCACACAGCACCCGTGTTCCCAAGCACCTGCAGGTGTCAGGTGGGAAGGTGAATGAGTGTACCCCTATAGTGCTCTACTGAGGTGGATGCCAGTGGGTATGGCAAGCTGTAAGCGTGAGCAAGTCTCTGTGGCACCCTCCTTGCCCTACCTGTTTCCCAGCGCAAACCCAACTCTCCCTTGACTCCCTGCCCACGGTCTTCTGGCTTCCCCTGGTGCCCTGGTGACGTGGGTGGGAATGTGTCCTGTGTGGCAGCTCTTCGAAGGTGTGTGCAGCCTCCTGGATCGTCTTGGGGCCTGGCCACACCTGGCCAATGGCACAGCTGACCTCCGGGAGATGGCTCAGATCGGCCTGCGCCTGATGCTGGGCTACATACTGCTGGAGGACCCGCAGGTGGGCGCACTGTTGGACCTAGGGAAGGATGGGAGAGGGTGACGGGGGAGGGAGCTCTGCAAGAGCGGGGTGCACCCACACCCCTCCTTTGTCCACAGCTGCACGCCCAGGCCTACGTGAAGCTGCATTCCCTGCTGCAGACCTTGGTGTCCCTGCGCCGCGAGGAGGCTTGCTACGTGCTGTCCAAGCTGGAAGCGGCGCTGGCGCGGGCACTGAAATCCCCTGAGCGCTGCTCGTGGCTAGTGCCGCTGGTGCGCACGCTGTTGGACCGCGCCTACGTACCTCTGGGACTGCAGTGGGGGCTCCCCTCCCTGCCGCCCACCAATGGCAGCCCCACCTTCTTCGAAGACTTCCAAGCCTTTTGCGCCACACCTGAATGGCGCCTCTTCATCGACAAGCAGGTGCCCGGAGGTAGGAATCAGGGGGAGAGAAATGGGAGATAGGGACCCACATTGAACACGCTTTTCCCCGCCTGGTCCTCCAGGTACAGCCAACCATGTCGCAGTTCGAAATGGACACGTATGCTAAGAGCCACGACCTCATGTCTAGCTTCTGGAACTCCTGCTACGACATGCTCATGAGCAATGGGCAGCGGCGCCAGCGGGAGCGCAAGCACAGTCGCCAGGCCTTCCAGGTGTGTGCGCGTGGTGGGAGTGGGGGTCCCCGATGGGAGGAGATGGAGAAATGGACAGAACAGAGAGGGCAGACAGCAGGATTGACCCCACTATCTTTCCACCCGCCAGGAGTTGGTGCTGGAACCTGCGCAGCGGCGCATGCGCCTGGAGGGCCTGCGCTATGCAGCTGCGCTGAAGCAACAGGCGGCCCAGCACTCCACGGCCCTGCTGCACTGGGGGGCCCTGTGGCGCCAGCTCTCCAGCCCCTGTGGGTCCTGGGCACTGAGGTGGGCGCAGTCAGCGTGGGGGGGCGGGGCTGGTCAGTAGAGGTGGAACCTAGGAAAACCAGACTGCACTTGCAGTGAGGTTGGCCTGGGTCACTTGAGGCTTGAGAGGCCTGAGGAGGTGTTCAGCCTTGTGCCCGGCTGTGACCGTCATCGGGGACTTGCTCACAGGGACCCTCCCACTCCCCGCTGGAAGCTGTCCAGTGCTGAGACGTACTCCCGCATGCGTCTGAAGTTGGTTCCCAACTATAACTTTGATCCTCATTTGGAAGCCAGCGCCCTTCGAGACAACCTGGGTGAGAGGCTGATGAGCTGGTCCCACCCAGTCTTGGATGTCCTTTCTGCCAGACTCTGGCTAAGTCCTCTTGTCTCCGCTGCAGGGGAGGCCCCCCTGACGCTCACAGAGGAGGCCACGTTGCCCCTGGCAGTGACCAAGGAGGCCAAAGTCAGCACCCCACCCGAGGAGCTGCAGGAAGACCAGCTAGGGGAGGAGGAGATGGCGGCGCTGGAGAAGGCGTGAGTGGGCCTGGGAGCTGTACACAGCCTCAGAGGGATCTGACCAGGGCGGGCAAGGGGTCCCAAGAGCAGAGCTCTGTTCCATTGTGCGTGTGAGTGTCTGCATCAAATACAGTCAAGATTGCCCCCAAGCACTGCAATCCTGAAGGTGTACGGTTCAAATCCACCAGATACTCTGCTGGAGAAGGAAGGGCAAACTCCTGTGCCAGTCAAATCTAATTCAACAGTAGAACAAGAAAACAAAACAAAACACAAAAACCTTAGACATTTGGCGGTATTTCCCTCATCTGTCCCTCTGCCTGTTTCTCTGCAGACCAAGGAATCACGCCCAAGAGACCCCTTAATAAAGCTTTGTTAGCTTCCTTTAAAAAAAAAGACTGCCCCCAAAATGTGCACACAAGCATCTCAGCCCTGATCTTTGCAAGTCTAAGTGTTCTAGTTCTCAGTCCTGCCAATATGGCTGTGACTCGAGAGGAAAGAAACACAGGCTGAGCCCCCTGAGAACGAGCAGGGACTGGGCTGGGGAATTAGGGGAGAGGGCAAGATGCTCAGAGGTTTGGAAGAAGGGCTGGAGCCCATAGGTGCTGGGCTCTGGGCAGCTCCTAGAGACATGTGTGTCCACCTCAGAGAGTGGAACTCTCAGGTGTGCTGGGTAGGAGGCCCAGAGCCCAGAATCTAAGGTGGGTGCTGGCTCCCCAGGATGGAGGCAGTGGAACTGGACAAGCAACGTGAGAAGCTGGTACTGTCGGCTGAGTGCCAGCTCGTCACGGTGGTGGCTGTGGTCCCCGGGCTGCTGGAAGTGACCACACAGCACGTGTACTTCTATGATGGCAGCTCCGAGCGTGTGGAAACCGAGGAGGGTATGGCCTGGTGGAGGTGGTCACGGGGATGGCAGCTGATGGCTGGGGTCTGGGGCAGATGACCCTCATCCTCACTGCTCATCCCTGAAGGTATCGGTCATGACTTCCGGCGCCCACTGGCCCACCTGCGGGAGGTCCACCTGCGGCGTTTCAACCTGCGCCGCTCAGCTCTTGAGCTCTTCTTCATTGATCAGGCCAACTTCTTCCTCAATTTCCCTGGCAAGGTGGGTAGACCCCAGCCTCCTTCTCTCTCTGGACCCCAAAGTCCGTCCTACCACAGCTCAGCCTCAACCCTGCCCAGTCTTACTATACCCCACACCCCAGGTACGGAACCAGGTGTACTCCTGCCTCCTGCGTTTGCGGCCCCCCACCCAAGGCTACCTAGGCAGCCGCTCGCCCCAGGAGATGCTGCGTGCCTCCGGCCTTACCCAGGTGACTGTCTGGTACATGAAGTGGTGGGGGGCTGTAGGGTTAGGCCCCTGAGGAGGGGGATTCTGAGCAGCCCACCTGGCTTACCTCTTGCCTGCTCTCACTCCTTAGAAATGGGTGCAGCGAGAGATATCCAACTTCGAGTACTTGATGCAACTCAACACCATCGCAGGGCGGACCTACAATGACCTGTCCCAGTACCCTGTGGTGAGGGCCCCACCCACACCCCCCATCCTGCCTCTCTGGTCTGTCAGTCCTTGCTTCGCCTGCGTGTAGGTACTTGCTTGGTCCTGGGCTAAGTGTGCAATGCTGCCTGAGACTCTGCTGTGTCCCCAATATGCCCTCCTGCCCTTTGTCCTACCCCTCCAAGTCTCTGTTCTCCCCAGAAGAATCCTGTCCCGAGATAGTCCAGCCTCCTTCCCCGCAGCCCCTTCGGTTCTCTTCCACCTGTGGACTCTGTGCCCATTTTCCCGAGGGCAAGGGCAAGGCAAATGGGGGGGCAGTTAGACTGACAGGCCCTCATGTAGCCCTTGCCCGGGTGGGCGGCCAGTTCCCCTGGGTCCTGCAGGATTACGTGTCCCCAACCCTGGACCTCAACAACCCGGCTGTCTTCCGGGACCTGTCCAAGCCCATCGGTGTGGTGAACCCCAAGCATGCCCAGCTCGTGAGGGAGAAGTGAGCGCATGGGCAGGGCTGGGCATGGGGGTAGGGCCGGGTGAAGGGGTTAACTTCTGCTGACTTCTGATGACCTGTGGCCGCAGGTACGAGAGCTTTGAGGACCCAGCGGGCACCATAGACAGGTTCCACTACGGCACCCACTATTCCAACGCGGCAGGCGTGATGCACTACCTCATCCGCACAGAGCCTTTCACCTCCCTGCACCTCCAGCTCCAGAGTGGCCGGTGCGGCTTGTGGGCACTGGGGCGGAGAGGGATGGGCTGAGGAGGGGCAGGCAGGTCCTGTGAGGCCCTGGGACGGCCTCTGGCTCCCTTCTCCAGCCACATTTCTCCCTCCCTGTCCCCCCACCTCACTGTGGCCCCTGTGCCCTTCCCCAGCTTTGACTGCTCTGACCGGCAGTTCCACTCCGTGGCAGCTGCCTGGCAGACCCGCCTAGAGAGCCCCGCTGATGTGAAGGAACTCATCCCCGAGTTCTTCTACTTCCCTGACTTCCTGGAGAATCAGAATGGTAGGTGCTGGCAGCAGCGGGGGGTGGCCTGGGGAGGAAGGCCACAGGCTGGGGTGGCCCAGAATGGTGCAGAGGTCCAGCTGACTGCCCCCCTCTCTGCCCTTGTGCTAGGCTTTGACCTGGGCTGCCTCCAGCTGAACAACGAGAAGGTGGGTGACGTGGTGCTGCCGCCATGGGCCAGCTCTCCCGAGGACTTCATCCAGCAGCATCGGCGGGCTCTGGTGAGGAGATGACCACATGGACAGTGGGCAGCCCGGAGAGAGGGGTCAGCGTTTGAATCTGCTATCCCTGGCCTGACCATCCCTTCTCTGCCTCCAGGAGTCCGAGTATGTGTCTGCCCACCTGCACGAGTGGATTGACCTCATCTTTGGCTACAAGCAGCGGGGACCTGCAGCCGAGGAGGCCCTCAATGTCTTCTATTACTGCACCTATGAGGGTGGGTGGTGTCCCCGATGCAGCGGAGGCAAAGGAAGGGGCAGCTCATAGAGAACCCTGGGTGAATACTCTCCACCCGCCCAGGAGCTGTGGACCTGGACCACGTGACAGATGAGCGGGAACGGAAAGCTCTGGAAGGCATTATCAGCAACTTTGGGCAGACCCCTTGTCAGCTGCTGAAGGTAGGGCCTGATTGGAGAATGCCCCATGGGTCAGGGACACCCATGCGGGTGTGCTGACTGGCCATTCACCCTCAGGAGCCCCACCCGGCCCGGCTCTCGGCTGAAGAAGCAGCCCATCGCCTTGCACGTGTGGACACTAATTCCCCCAGCATCTTCCAGCACCTGGACCAGCTCAAAGCCTTCTTTGCTGAGGTTTGAGGAGGGCGGGGCTTCAACTTCCATTCTGTGAAATAGATTTAAGTGCCCCCTGCCCTCCCCAACGTCTTAGGGCAGCTGGGAAGTCAAAGCATTGATTTGAAAGGACCTTGGAGAAAGAATCCAACATGAGAGAAATTTAGGAGGGGATTCCCGCTTGCCAAGGGCCAAGATAAGGCATTGATGTGACCTATCTTCTGAAAGCTTCTGAGACCTCTAGCCTGGAACACCTTTCCTCACTTCCTGCCTACACACTAGAATGTTGTCCCTATCCTTACTGATTTTTAGTCTTCTCCCTTAATGTACTCGGCTGTTAAGCAAAAACATTAGAGGTTCAAGTCCACCCAGAGACACCTCAGGAGAAAGGATTGGCAATCTAATTATGAAGAGCCACTGAAAACCCAGTGGCACAGTTCTACCCTGATATGCATGGGGTCACCATGAGAGGGCATCGGTTCGCTCCCCGACCCCTTGCCACCAGGAGGAATAGAACTTCCCATGGGGTGGGAGGAAGAGGACCAAGCTTGAAGCTCCAGAGCCTTGTCCTGGCTTCTCCCTCACTTTCTGAAATACGGTGCGAAAAGCCCACTTGTCTCATGCTGGCTAAGGAGAAATGCTGCCCCTGAAATGCTTACCCTGTGCCCCTGCTGGTTGAGGGCAGAGGAAGGGGTGGCAGCCCAGGAAATAGATAGTACAGGGAGGGTCCCTGCTGGCTACATGGCAGAACTAGCCCTGTGCTGTGCCCTGTAGGTTGTCAGTGATGGCGTGCCCTTGGTCTTGGCCCTGGTCCCCCACCGGCAGCCCCACTCCTTCATCACCCAGGGCTCCCCAGACCTGTTGGTAAGTGCAGTGGGAGAGAGAGGCCCCATCTCCACTATGTCTCTTCTCTGACCCGCTGACACCTCCCTCGCCCTGACTCCCTACAGGTGACTGTGAGTGCCAATGGGCTGCTAGGCACCCACAGCTGGTTGCCCTATGACCGCAACATAAGCAACTACTTCAGCTTCAGCAAAGACCCTACGATAGGCAACCCCAAGTAGGTCATGGGGCTGTGGACGGGGGTCAGTTCCCTGCTCAGAGTGTGGGGTGGCTGCTGGGTGAGGTCTGGCCAGGACCCTGAGTGCCTGGGCCTCTCCCACCTTCCATTCTCCCTCCCTGGGACAGGGTGCAGAGGCTTCTGAGCGGCCCGTGGGTACCAGGAAGCGGAGTGAGTGGCCAAGCCCTGGCAGTGGCCCCAGATGGGAAGTTGTTGTTCAGCGGTGGCCACTGGGATGGCAGCCTTCGAGTGACCGCACTACCCCGGGGCAAGCTGTTGAACCAGCTGAGCCGCCACCTTGGTATGCACATCCCAGGAGCCCATGAGGGAGTGGCATGCGGCTGGGCGCTGAGGGGGCTGGGGCTGGTCTGACTGCTCTGCTTGTGCCCTCACCTTATGCAGACATAGTAACCTGCCTCGCACTGGACACCTGTGGCATCTACCTCATCTCCGGCTCCCGGGACGCCACATGCATGGTGTGGCGGCTTCTGCAGCAGGTGTGACTGGGGGGCCCTGAGCCCATGCCTGCAGCCCATCCACCCCTCACTGGGCCTCCAGGCTTGCTCCCATCTTTCCCTTCTCTTCACTTGATCACGTACTGGCAAGGGCTGGACAAAAGGATGGGTAGGTTACATCTTGCTAGGACAAAATGTGATCAAGGCTGGAACCCCCAACTCTTCGACTCACCAGCCTTGGATCTTCACTCCCCTGAGCCTCAGTCAACTCAATCAGGGCCCAGTGTGGTGGCAGGATACCCCTAGTCCTGAACCAGCCCCGGTTCCCCACAGGGCGGTGTGTCGGTAGGATTGGCACCAAAGCCCGTGCAGGTCCTCTATGGGCACGAGGCTCCAGTGAGCTGTGTAGCCATCAACACTGAACTTGACATGGCTGTGTCTGGATCCGAGGTATGTGCTTGCAGGTGCCCCGGGGAGGGTGGTGTGCTGGTGCAGCACCTGGAGCCCAGAGGCCTCTCTGCCCAGCAGCACCTTAAAACTGCCTCCTTGCAGGATGGAACCGTGATCATCCACACTGTACGCCGGGGCCAGTTTGTGGCAGCACTCCGGCCCCCAGGAGCCACACTGCCTGGACCTGTGTCCCACCTGGTACTGGGATCCGAGGGCCAGATCGTGGTACAGAGCTCAGCACAGGAGCGTCCAGGGGCCCAGGTATGGGGAAGGGGAGCCCCGCAGAGGGAGGCATGTGGTGAGGGTCCTGTTCATGCTAATCCCTGTGTCCTTCAGGTCACCTACTCCTTGCACCTGTACTCGGTGAACGGGCGGCTTCGGGCATCACTGCCCCTGGCAGAGCAGCCCACGGCCCTGGCTGTGACCGAGGACTTTGTATTGCTGGGCACAGCCCAGTGCGCTTTGCACATCCTTCACCTAAACAAGTAAGCGTCACAGCTTCTGTGGTCTGTGGTCGTCAGTGATAGAGGACACTAGGGGGTGTTGGTGACTCGCACACCCTGTATGTCCATGGGCACAGTCTACAGGGCACATCACCTGTCCCCTCATACTCCAGAGAGGTCTTTGCCCAGGGCCAACCTTACTCGTTTACCTGTGGGAGATTTCACCATCTCTAAGCCGAGGACATAGAGGGTGGGCATGTGGGGAAACAGGCCATCCTTCGCTGAAGGTCATGCCCCCTTACATGGCTGATTCCTGTGTGTCTGACCCCCCTCTCCTAGACTGCTCCCCGCTGCTCCTCCCCTGCCCATGAAGGTGCCCATCCGCAGCGTAGCGGTGACCAAGGAGCGTAGCCACGTGCTCGTGGGACTGGAGGACGGCAAGCTGATTGTGGTGGGCGCCGGGCAGCCGTCTGAGGTGAGGATCGGCCAGGGCGGCCTCGGAGGCGGCGGGAAGGGGCGGCCCCTCCCAGCCAACACCATCTCCCCTGCTGGCCCCAGGTTCGTGGCGGCCAGTTCGCGCGGAAGCTGTGGCGATCCTCGCGGCGCATCTCCCAGGTGTCATCCGGGGAGACGGAGTACAACCCCGGCGAGGCGTGCTGAGGACCTGTCCGTCCAGCTGCTCGGGCCGGTCCCCCGCGGCCGGGCCCGGGAGACCCCGGGAATCGGCGGGAAGGCAGAGGAGGAGGAGGCGCTCGGCGGGCGCGCTGAGGGTGGGCGGGGCCCCATCCTCACGCCCAGCTCAGGGATTGGTCGGGGCCGTGTCACTCCAGGAAGTCCCGCCCCTCGCCGGCTGAGGGGCCGTCGGACGCCCACCTGGCCTCTTTGGCCGTCGCAGCACTTTTTGCACAGTCTGGGGCGGGGATCCCCAGCTCACGAATCCCCCCCCCATCTCGGCGGAGCACTGGGGCCGGGCTTGGCCTTAATCCCTAAAGGCGGCCCCCGCTCTTCCATTTTTGGCAATAAACTTGGCCTAGTTTTGTAGCTGTTCTGCCTCTGTGGTCACTGTCTCCAGGTTGCAGCTGTTTGGCCCAGCCTGGCTCGCGTTCCTTGAGCACAAGACCCCCTTCTGGGTGGCCCGCTCCCCTCCTTGTGACTTTGCCTGACTTGGGGGGCTTAGTGTACCCGGCTGCCCCGCCCCTGCCCCTTGGGTCTCCACCCTCTATCCCTCCTTGGTTCTTAGTTTCTTTGCTCCTTCAACCCTTCTATGGACCACCAGTCACGACTGTACGTCATTGTTGCGTCCTCGCCATCGTGGCCAAGTGCAGAGCACATGGGGAGACAGTGCTGGGGTGCAGGGAGCCGGGAAATAAGAGCCCAGAAATAAAAGCCGGGGGTGGGCGGGAGTCTTCCCCCAGATACACTTCGGTCTCCCTCCGCTCCCGGGGCGCTAGCCACGCCCCCACGGCACAAGCCACGCCCTGTGGTACATAAGCCACGCCCATCACACATGCCACGCCCCTCAGACCCTCGTCCCGCCCAGCGCCGGCGCTCTCGTCTGGGCGGAACTGAACTTGGCCTTCCCAGGGATTCCGCGCCGCCTTCCCCACCCATCCGCCCGCCCAGGGGCCGCAGAACTGCCCAAGTGGTCCGAGCGCCACCAGGCTGAGTGGATCCTAGGACCCTCCGAGGGGTGGCCGCTGCAGGTTAGGAAGGGATAGGACCTAGAACTCTGGGGCTGCTGGGCGGAGTAGGTCAAGGGCTGACTTGGCCCCCACCTCAAGACCTGTGGTCCCCTGGGTATTGTGCTACGTGGGCCAGTGTCTGTTGGGGATCCAGGGTTGTGTGGGGTGCTGCATGGTCTAGCCATATTTTGTGGGTCTAGGGGTGGAGGAAGGCCCCAATCCCCCAGCTTGGGACGGGGATGGGAGAACCTCAGGCCTGTCTGTTGCGGGTCACTAGCCCTCCCACAACCCAGGATTCTGGGAGGGTCCCTCGGGGGAGGTCACACAAGAATTCACATGTCCCACGTGGCAGGGGCCACCATGTCCCAGACTCACTTAGGCCTGCTCGGAAGTGAGTTTGGATTCCTGGGGTGGCTGGGAGTTTGTGAAGCTGTGGGAGTTGGAGAGTTGCCTGTTTTCCCTCACTCATCTCCATCCCTTCCCTCTGTAAACTCCCCCTCACCCAAACCTGGGGCCTCTCTTCAGACCTCAGGAAGGGAGTCCCGCAGGGTCCTCACAGGTGCTGGGACCCAACCCGTGGTCCTTCTGATTTTTAGACACCCAAGTCCTCTTGGAGTTCCTGAGGGAGACCCAGCTAGGGACCTCTGGGCTTGCATCCCTTCTGTTTTTTGCTGAACCCATCAAGGTGTCCTCCTGGCTGAGTTCTGAGTGGCCTGGACACGGTCGCTGGGAGCAGGAATGGGAATAGTGTCACTCTGAGAAGCCCCTGCCTTGCAGCCTTAAGGTGTTGGGGTCCTGGGCTACTGTTGAGAAGTTCCTCTAGCTGTTAAATCTCTGTGCATCCCTGGCCAAGGTGAGGGCTGGAGGGCATGTCTCCCTAGTCGTCTTCTCCCATCCTTGCCTTCAGACCAAGTGCTGCCAAGGTCTGTGAGCAGAATGCTTTCTAACCTGCCCTCCACTCACTGGACTGCACTCTGGCTGCTGTGGCACTGGCTAACTGGGGTCAGCTCTACACCATGTAACAAAGGAAGAAATTAGTTTATGCTCCTCCCCTCTGCAAGGGAGAGGAGCTTAAGCTCCAGGGTGAATGAGGATAATGTGAGGGCGAAGAGAGGCAAATAGCCCGCTGACCTCAGGGCAGAGGCTCCGAATGTGTGGCATGAGGCCTTTCCCCTGGTCAGCACTCAGATGAAGCACCCCTGCTCCCAGCGACTCTGCCTGGCATTGCATGTCCCTCCCTCCCATCTTTTCTAGAGATGCAGTCCCCAAGACCCCCGACAGACAGCCGAGCAGAGCTTCACATCCACAGGGAGGGCACGGCCCATTTGGGTGAGCACCTCTCAGTCCAGATCCTAGGCATGGGTAGGCTGGAGGGTGCCCTGCGTGGGAGAGTCACACACAGACAAGTCCAGTCACAGGCTCTCGAGTTCCCATCCTCTCTGTTGTTTGTACTAGGCTGGGAGGACACCTGTGTCCCACACAGAAGAAACAGTTCTGTCTTATTTTGCAAATATTTGCAAGGTTTCCTGTGCACGAGAATCCTCTATAGGTGCCAATATAAATCAGTAGGGTCTTACAGTTCAGACCTGGTTGGGGGACAAGAGATACAGTTTAGCACAGTGGTACTAAAACCAAACCTGCTGGCATTGCCAATTCTGCCTCCATGTGATACAGAGTAGAATTGCTCCATAGGATTTTCTTAGATGTGATCTTTAGGGACAGAGATTACCAGGCCTTCTTTCCGCAGTGCCACCGAGAAGGTTTGCACTGCCAGCCTTTAAAGTTAGTAGTTGAATGTAAGCTATTTGTGCTGCCCAGGAATCTAGGTCATAAAAAGCCCTGAAACTGCCAAAGGTAGATAAAAAGAAGTGCAATTGGAACCAGAAAAGGAGGCGATCTGGAGTTCAAAGGTGGCTACTTAGAAGAGGGGGTCCAGATGGAGGAGGTAGAGGGAAAAGCAAGAGAAGTCTGGAAGCTGAGAGAGAAGCACATTGTGGGGGGAACAGTGGGTGTCCAGAGTCCCAAGCGAGGGGAGGCTGTAGGAGATGAAGGTGGAAACACACTCGCCAGCATTTGCCCCCTTGGTTATAACCTCTTGACTATGCGTTAAGGACAGTTGTTTTCAAATGTTTGGGCAGCAGAGTCTAGTTGAGGTGATTTAGGAATCCTAGACTTGGTTTATTTCCCCTTACACTGTCCTTTTCCTTCACAGAGAAGACCCTGATGGGGCAGGACAGGGAAAGGGAAGGGGTATGGGTGGGGACAGGGGGAGCCCTGACCCCCAGTACTTCCTCCCCATTCCCCCCTGAGCCTCCGGGGGCCTCAGGCAACATCATCCCAGTCTACTGTGCTCTCCTGGCTGCTGTAGTCCTGGGTCTGCTGGCCTACGTGGCCTTTAAGTGGTAGGTGGTCTGAGCATCGTCCTGTGGCACCCCTTGCCCCTGTCCCTGTCTGGACTTGCAGCCAGCTCCCTGTGAATTGGTGAAGGTGGGAGCAGGCTGGCAGGTAACCCCACTTTTTACAGTTGGCGCTCCCATAAGCAAAGACAGCAGCTGGCCAAGGCTCGGACTGCTGAGCTCGGGGGCCTTGACAGGGACCAGGTGCGTGGAGAGAGCAGCGTCTTCCTGGACTCTCCCGGTGGCCCAGAACCATGTGCCCCCAGCCAGGGTGAGTCCCCTTCCCCAGTCTCCAGTCCTAACCTTAACCCTAATCCTAACCCTAACCCTGCCCTCCTGCCCAGGCCCTTGTCTGACTCTCACATGCCTCTCCTGTTTCCCACCCCAGGGCCAAATGCAGAGCTCGGCTGCCGACTTTACCTTCATCTCCCTCGGCAGCAGCAGGAGGAAGTGGGACAGCTCCTGGAGGCGCAGGGCGAACCTGCTAAAGGTTGGCAGGGCCTGGCAGGCCACTTGGGCTATCGGGCCGAAGCTGTGGAGACCCTGGCCCGGGGCCAGGCTCCAGCCTACACCCTGCTGAGGGACTGGGCCCTCCGGGAGGGTAATGGAGCCACCCTCAGGGTGCTGGAAGATGCCCTGGCTGCCGTGGGCCGTGATGACGTGGCCCAGGTCCTGCGCACCCTCACTGAGGGCTGCTCTGTGGTGTGAGCACAGCCTCAACTCTCAAGGAATGTGCTCAAGTACTCCCCACTGCCCCCATCCACTTCCCAGCTTCGACATGGGGCGGGGGTGCTCAGTCTGCTCTGCTCTCAGGAGCTGCACAAAATCTGGCCGTTCTATTCCCCTTGTCTTCTGAGACAGGGTCCCGGATTTGGAGAATGAGTGGGCAGTGAGGGCAGGAACCTCTTGATCCCCATCTCTCTTTTCTTAGCTTTGGCTATTTTTTTTTTTTCTTTCTACTTTTGTATCTTATATTAAAGGAGATTTTGGCGCTGGTTCCATCTGGCTCCTTGGGCCTGTGAAACAGTTAGGGGTAAGAAGCCAAGGCCCAAAAAGGGGTTGGGGCCCCAGGGTGTGGAAGGGGCTGAAGCCTAGGTAGCCCCCTCTTTGATTAGGCAGAATGGACCACTCTGGAGTCATGTGCTGGATCTGGCATTCATTGGCTGTATGTGCTGCAGAATCGTCTCACTTTTCTGAACCTCAGCCTCCTAGCTGGGAGCAATAAAATGCCTCCCTCACTGGGTTCTCCCGATTCCCAGGTGAGGAGCCCTGGGCCTTGAGGTCATTTTCCTGACTCATGTATGCTGTGAGCAGCGTCAAAGGGAGGTTGGAGCCAGGCTCCTTGGAGGCTAGATACCAAGGGACAAGGGCTCCCCTTTTAAGACCCACATCCCAGGCTCTGGAGAGGGGGTTCCAAACATGCTTCACACTGCTGCTGAGGACCAGCCACGGATGAGTAGTCAGCCACCTTACAAACCCGAGCGTGGCAGCAGTTCAGGACAAGGCCTACAGTCAGACCACTTGCATACAACTCACATGCTTGTCCACCCTGAAGGCAGGAGCTAAGTAGCTACTGTGCCTTTGGAGTGTGTATAGGGTGCTAGAGCAGACAGGCCCCAAGCCCCTGTCATTTTCCAGCGTTAGATGCTTCAGTATTGCCTCTCAAACCTCGTCAGGAGTTGGGGGATCTAGTTGTGTGGTCCCAGGTGCTATTGGAGCCAAGGGTGGCAGTTGTTACATGTCAAGTCGTACCCTGAAGCAGGTTTTCAGAGGCTACAAATAACAGTAGAGGAAGACGGCCCATCTTTCTCCTGCAGAGCAGGCTGGTGGATTTGAACTGCCTGTCTTTGGGTTGGCAGCAGAACTTCTTTCCATCAGGCCACCAAGGCTCTAGAGTAGATCTTGTCTCCTTGGTGAACTAAGGTGCAACCAACTGAGCTCCAAAGCCATCGCAGGATCCTGTTACTGCTCGTCTTCAACTGTTCACCAAGGACTGTTCAACCTCACAGACCTTTACCTTCCAGAGATGACCCCTAGGGGATTAACTGATGAGGAGGGAAGCTGTAGTGACAATAGTGACAGCAGGGATGTTGAGGACTGGACCAGCAACAGAAGCTGACCCCTGAAACCCTGTAAGTGCTAGGAAAAGGTTCCAAAGGAGTGGATGGATACCTCAGACTACCACCTAGGGGATCTGAACTAATGGCAGTCTGTGGAGAAAAGAGAAAACCTCAGTGAGGTAAATGAGAATTTACCTAAATTTCCCTAAAAGGTATTTGCTATAATAGATACAACTGGAAAATGTCAAAAGTGAGTAAATTATTTTTTACTCCTATTTCTGTTCAGTAAATGGCCGAAAGTTTTGAAGAATGTCAAATGGGAAGATACTTCAGCTGAGGAAGTAGCTGGTCTTAAAAAAAAAAAAAATTAAGATTCCCTTAGCAGGCCCTTTAATCTTAGGATAGTGCACAAGTTTACTCTGAGCCTTTGTTTCCTCATCCCCACAACACCCATTGCTCAGGGTTATGAGGACTAAATGAGCTCAGACGTGAGCTTTAAGTACTCAGCTGGCCTGCAGTACTAACCCTCCCCACTCCCAGAAAAGGCTTTGTCAAGTCACAGCCTAGGCTTGCCTCTTCCCAAGGACATCACTGCAGGGGAGCACATGACCTTGGTAAGCACCAGGTGGGACAAGGCTCTGAGGGGGGCCCTAGTCTAGCCTGGAACCCACTGCCCTCCTCAGTGAAGCCTCTTCTGAGCACTGGAACCCTTTATAGTAGTGCTTGCCTTGCTCCCTCCAGGGGTAGGGGGAAGGCTATCGTGGGAGACTAGAGAACCTACACATCAAGTGTGAATTCCTGTGGACTTGGGGGTCTGAAAGGAAGAGGCTCAGTGTCTGTCACTAATTTGAACTCTCTTGACCATTAACCAGTGGGGAGCAGCAGCACCAATGAAACCTTGAGGTGCTCTGCTGTGTGACATGTGCGAGCTGACCCCAACAATGACTAAAAGGCCACAGGACCCCCGGGGAGTGCACAAGAGCCAGTTGCTGGCACATGTCTGCTGCAGGCACAGCAAGACCTGTGGGAACGACACCCACAGAGGAATCTTGGACGCGCAGTTCAGGTGTCACCTCAGTGGCCACCCTCTCTCTGGTGACATCACCACATGGCAGACTCTGATCCTTTCCCAGCCCACCCATGCTCATTGCTGATTAACAGGGAAGTTAAAAGACATCAAGTTCTTTAATTGATTTTATTTTTTACATAAAAAGTTCAGTAAAAATTGGATAAAGTAAAGTGATTTTAAGCAGTAAATCAATCTTATCAACATAGCACAAGGCTGGCCAAAACCACAAGGCAGCCTGCTTCAGAATATTTACATGATAACAAATTAAACCTTGCAGGAGAACTGTAACCATCCTTACAAAGTCTTTCTCTGATCCTAGCACGGAGAAGCTAAAAGCAAAACAAAAACCAAACAAAAACCAGGAAACAAATTATTTTCAATATATTCACATATACATTAAAATATAATACAGATCATCAGGGTGACGGGTGGTGGGGTGGGGATGCGCATGGGTCTGTGCGCTGACAGCACCGCCAAGGAGGAGACCCAGGTTGGAGAGTGTGGGTCAGGCTTGGGAGGGTCTCGGAGGGAGGGTCTGTCCTAAACCCTTGCTTCTGACAGCCTCTAAACACGCTCCTACTGGCTCACGACTAGACATCGCTTGATGCAACTGGAGCTCAGTTTTGTGGCTTTCGGTTGCAATCCTCAAGGTTTGACTCTGCCCAGGGCGACGTGCCCTCAGCAGCACGAGTCCTGACTGTGGGGTGGGGCAGAGGGCACACGGGTTCTTCCCAAAGTCTGTCCTGTGTGGGCACTCGCCCTCCCATCCTGGCCACAGAAGTCACTCCAATTCAGTGTCCTCTTTGGGTTTGTAAACAGCCCCAAACTTCTGCATGTACTTCTTAATGTACTCCTTGGTCTTGTGTCTCACGTTCTCGTTGCACTCCAGGTCCTCGGGCGTCTTACAGTACTTCAGCTCCTTATTCATAACACCATGAGTCAGCTGAACAGGGCATAGAAGAGAAAGCATAGCATCAGAGTGGAGGCAACGTGAGGAGAGGTCTGGGAGGAGGTACAAGGACAGGGTGTAATTCAGACTCCTGCTCTCCAGGGTCCTTCACACTGGGCCTGGAGCTTCAATAAGGAGGTAAGGGAACTCTCAGCTTTGGAAATCTTCTAGAGAGTTGTTTTTGGAGAAGAAGGGGCTCTTTCCCATCTTTGATTTCCTGAATCCCCAGCCCCTGGTATCTAGCACTGAAAACCACCACCTTCTCTGTGATGTAAGGGACCTCAGAAGGTGTATTTTAGCCCGAACACTGGCAGACCAGAGCCTGGAGGAAGGAGTACCTTGCGAGCCAAGTGTTTGAAGTCTTCAGTTGTGGTAATCCTTCCCACTTTGCAGTCGGGTTTCCTGTAAGGGTTCAGGCACTGGACGATGAACTGGGACATCTGCACGAAGGGAAAAGAGAATACACTGCTCAGTAAGAGCGAGGAGCTGTGCAGCCCATTTTTTTCTCTCCCCCTCAGGATGGCTGGTTTGGACAAAAGAACACAAGTCTTCCAGTGGGTTATGAGTAAAGGATCCTAGGTCAGTCCTGAGAGCAAAAAAAGCTCTACTCTGATGGACTGCACACACCTGAGTTAGGAAAGCAAAGGGGATGAAGCAGTACAGGGCTTTCAGAGCTCCCAGGAGAAAAGCTAGGCACTCTGGTGTTGAAGGCTGTCTCATTTCTGTATTATACTTTGCTTGGTCTAGACCATGAGAAGACATGGGAGGTACAGGCCTTTTTAAGTACCAACCCCTCTGCATGAAAAAGCAGTTCTCTCCTGTCGAGAAGAGAGCTCCAGAGTCTGATGCAGGGTGACCTCAAGTCACAACTTGAAGGCAGTGGCTTTACTCCCAGCATCCTCCAGGGCTATCAAGGGTCCCCAGACATAAAGTCTCACTTGTGGGGCTAAAATCAGAGGACAGAGTGAGACTAGAGACAGACACTTCATCAGGGAGGGCCTTGAACAAGTATTTACCTGGAACTAAGGTAAATATCCATAGAACCACTGAGCTTTCAAAATTCAAAGAAAAGCAAGGAGGTACTAAACAGTTGTTTGACTGGTTGAGTTGAAACCCCAAAACACATTTAGATAAGGTTTTTCCACCTCTTCAATCCAGTCCTCCCACCCCCCGAAAAATAGCCAGAGGGCTTTTATGGCTTCTTTCTTAAAGACTTCCAGGGGTTCCCTGCAACCCCTTACAAACAGATGACCTTCGATGAATAAATGTAATACCATCCAGCCACATCGTCCAAAATCTCTCACACAATCTGTGGGACTCAAGAGCTCTTCTGAATACTTTACTTTGAATTTCTTTTTGCATATTCTATTGCCTTAAGTTATGTCCCTTCCTGGTCCATCTGGGCAATGTCCACCCTGGTTTCACCCAGTGGAGCGCTGCCACCTGTAGAGTGGCATACTCTACACACCTGTCATTACTTATGTGCCAACAGACTACGGAGCCCTTTCAAAAGAGGAACACTGAAGTAAAAATCAAGTGTTTTAAGGCTAGAAACACACATTTCCAGTGACATAAAAAGAAGGGCTTTCCTTCAATCCCTTGATGAGGAAGACAAACAAAATTTCACAGAAAGAGAACTGTACTGAGGCTGAAGTCCTAAGTTAAGGTTTCTGACTGTAAGATGCTTTCTCTGAATCTGGGTTCCTTCACCTGCAAATCAAGAATGGCAGTCCCTGTTCTGCTTACTTCAGGGTTACTGTGAGGACAGAATGGATATGAAAGTTTATCCAGCTGTAAAGGCCCACACCAATGTGTTCCCCTAAAAGTACACAGTCAAAAAGTAAAAGACACCCCCCCCCCCAAATGGAGTAACCAAAGGCAGGGAAGCTACACTCCACAAACAGCTCTGATTTGCCAGGGATGCTAGAAAAGGCCAACAGGAAAATGCTGTGTGCAAAGGGGTTCCTGACAAGCCACAGAAGAGATGGCTGAGGAGTCCCTGATGTGGAAAGAACACTTAAGCAAGCAAGACACACAAGTCTTGTGTTCTTGACAGTTTTAAGAAAACGTACCAGTTAGGACAAGAAAGGAAATGGGTCTTAAGTCTGAGAAGTGCAGTGCACAGCTTACCCAAACCTTACCTCTTTCCTAAATACTTCTTTGCTTTTTTTTGCCAGTTCACTGGAGGTGTCTGCTTCTGCTGTCTTGGGCTTTTTTGAGGTCTAGAAAGGAAGACAATATGTAAAGTGCTGACATTAGAAGTCGGCTGCATCATGTCCTGCTGCCCCAGAACCTACCTTCTTTCCCCATACTGGGCTACCTGACTCTTGGTATTAGGCTCTATGCAGAGGCCTGTTTCTGGAGGATGGCCTGCAGTCAATCTGTCTACTATTACCACTCTCATTTCATGATTAAATCTTAGCATCTGGTTCCAACCTTCTACTCTAAGTCAGAGCAACATCTCTGATGTACCTCAACATTTCCAGCTACTTAAGAGTCACCACTTCTGCAGAGGAATGCATTACTATGTCACCTTGGACCACTCACGACCTACAAGCTGGCTCCCCTCTAGCAGACTGTTAGGTCAAACTTACATGCTTTCTGGCTATGGCATTCTAGGATCTCAGGACAAGGGCAAAAGATTATGTTCCTCCAATCTTCCCCGATACAACTGACTCCGTATCATGGCCCGTACCTAATTCACTCTAGGCCCCTTGGATTCTTAATAATTTCCCTCCAAAGGCGTAACTGGGTGGACTATGGGAGAAAGCCCTAGCATATAGGAGAGGCCTTTTGTACCCCCAGTTCAAGGGTTAAATGGCTAAAGAGATACAAAGGGAATAGGGGGAAGGAAAATAGAGTCATCCAAGACATTAAGCAGATGTGTAAATGCTAAGATAATGAAGATACTTCATCCCAAGCTAGCAAGATGGTGACAAAGCCAGGCACATTCCTTTCTAACACTGCAGGATGACAAGGCTGCCACGTTCTCCCTAACTGGCCCTGCCAAGAGTTCTAGGCCAATGGCTTAGAATGCCTGAGATTTGCCTGTGCCTTTACCCACCACAAGACATCAGCAACCACTTCTCAGTAAATACTTTTTCCATGGAAAAGAACAATTATCAACATTGTTCTTTGAATAGAAGCCAATTTTAGATGGATCTAGAAGGTACAGATATGATGTATAGGTACTTTATACTTTTGCTAGGGGCTTAAAGCAGTGAATTCATCTATTTCCTCACTAATAACATAAAGGTGCTGCCGAAGCAGCTGTTCAGCCTCCTTTGCTCTGGCTTTGGCCTCACACAAAGGTAGCACTCCAATGGCTTTGGCTGACTATAAAATAAGTTTTCTCTGATTTGTTAAAAAAGCTTTACACATTTTTCCATTTTTCGGCTTTCCTCCCTTGGCTGTGGGATAAAGCAAATGAAGGGCAGGGTAGGAAGAACAAACAGATCCAACCTCTGTTTTCATGAAATAAAACACAAGTAACTATTTTGAAATGTTTCCCTTTGGGATTTTGTGGTTGTTTTTTCAATTGCAGAGAAAATGTGGGTGTGCTTTAGAACAAGACTTCCAGCAATAAGGGATTCAGAACTGCTTGGAGTAAGGCAATGAAATTTTAACACAGTTAAAACTGTTAACACAGTTGTTCTGTGGAATTCAGAAATAAGTAGCAAAAGCAATTAGTACAAAAAAGTCTCTTTGGGGATGATAAAAACTCAAGCATCCAGTTCCAAGAGAAAAAGCCACACTTCCAGTGAGAGGAACGTATGCATGAAGAGGAATGCTGTGCTCTCCTCTGAATGCGTTATGTGTTCAGAACGCTAAAGAAATCCAGTGTATAGTTAGCAGCTTTCTAATTTAATCCTGGTTTAGGAGGTTGGTAGGGCTTTAAAAATGTTACAGAGCACAATACATCGAGCTGTCTCAGAGCTCTGCAGGTCCCTCTGAGCACTAAGCAACTGAGACTGAGAAAGGAAATGTTCAAATGAAAGTCTCAGATCATCATGAAAGCCATGGGTGACCATGGTGCTGAGGAGCACTGTACCCCTTGAGGAGTACTGTACCCCATTTCTCAGCAGAGTCTGAAATGGCCTGGAAATAATTTCTGAAACCGGCTAACATTTAGTCAAGTCTAATATCAGGCAAGAACCAAAAACAGGTTGGGGTTTTATAATGACCCACCAGTTGCTCAGGTCTGGATATAATGCTTATACAGCAACTCACATGTCTGAAACAACTAAACTTAAACAAAATACCCCAACATAATCCCAGGGATCTAGCAACTAAATGTATCAAAGAATGAGATTCATCTCAGATAGTTATAATGATACCAACATACATAGCACAAGTGTGCATGCACACACATACCCATCCACTGGTAATAGGGATAAGATACGTAACTTGATAAATATCCTCATACTGGGTGGTATACATATAGTTATCCTTTCAGCCTATAGACAATCACACAGCAATGCCTACTGCTTAGACTGTAACATGCCTGTGAATCACGTGGGAATCTTGTGACTGAGCAAATCTGGGATATGGCCATTTTTAATAGGTGATGCCAAGTGCTAATGACTGGGTGCTTGTGTGCAATCAAGTTGGAAGTGATTCCTAACTGACCCTCCAGTGGGTTTTCAGAGGCAGTAAATCGCATGAGAGGAGACTGCCCACCCTTCTCCAGTGGAACAATTGATGGATTTGAACTGAGTGCCTTTGGAATTGCAGCAAAGCTTCTTACCTCTAGGCCACCAGAGCTCCTTCAATGACTGATTACTAAACTGAATTAACCTGTTATAATAAGTTCATTAGGAACACTCCCTACTCAGTCCTCTGGTCCAATCTCTTCAGTTCATCTTCACTAGAGAACATTCTAAAAGGCAAACTTAATTATGCCATTAATCAAACTATTTCAAGAATTTTCAGGGGAAGAGGGTGGGTAGGGAAAAAACGCAACAATGAATAACTGGAAACCCTAAGTCACTGTAAACTTCCATTAAACTTAATAATAATTAAAAAAAAATTTCCCACCGCATAGACAGAGGCACATGAAGCTGCCCTTCAACTTGGTCCCTCTACCTCCTCCTAAACACCTATTTTGCATTTGGCACAGGGTTTTTCCTTTAAGAAAGGCCGATTCTCTGAGCACTAAATAAACAAAACCAGACTTTATGACTAAATCTCATTTGCTCTAAAAAGCTTAACTCCATCTTTATTAATAGTTAAGGTATCCATGAGCTTGGCTTTTGGCAGAAATAAGTTCTCCCACTGCTAGGTGAACTTGGTCCAAGAACTTAGTTATGTTTACAAACCAGAGGTCTCTAATCAAACCTCTATTCATTTTTCAAATATACAAGTAATCTATCTACAAAGATGAGCAGATAGGGAGATAGGAAAGTTTATCACGTTTGTTTTTAAGCTTTTAGATAATTTAAATGGCAATCACATAATTCTAGACATTCTCAAATAACTCATGAAAATGTGATAGCATCATAATTGGAGTGATGTGAAACACATGGTGAAGCAAGAAAAGCAACTCTGCCCCCCAAATTATGAAAATAAGAAAAGTCTGGTTTCATTTCCATTAAAATGGCTCCTCATTCTAGCCCTTCTTTCTTGCCTTTCTCTTGTTTCTGTCTCACTGACTTAACTAGTTAGACCTACTTTTATCTTTAAAAAATTACCAGGTTTCACATTAAGTAAGTATGGTTTCTGATTTTACACCTTAACTTAGAGACAGGCCTAAACAGGAAGGGGTGAAAATGGTTATAATCACTCACTGATTACAATCAATCAATGAGCACTGATTTATATGACCTTTAATCCCAATTAATGTAGAGCTAAAAAGAAAATAAGATGAAGAATAAACATTTTTCCCTTTGATGTAAAAATTTATTCTCATTGTGAAATATGTCTGCCTCATATCTTTTAAAAAAGGAGAGAGAAAAAAAAATAAAAAAAAAAAGGAGAGAGGAGTTTAACATTCATTTGGTAATATTTCAATGTACTGCATTTAATGTCATTCTAGACCCACCAACTCCAAAATGATAAATTAAACCACACCATTCCAATTTGACTTCAGTTTAGAGTCAAAACACCATATTGAACCTTTAAGAAAAATATAAAAAAGATTTACAGGATCTTACAAGTAGAGAGGTGAAATAGGTAAGTTATGAAGAGATTTGACTAGTATGATTCTATTTGAGTGTTCAAAATAAAAAGAACAAGATCCACATTTCTGAGTCTGTAAATGTTTAGAAAGATCTAGAAGAACAAGCACCAAGCAGGGCCTTCACTATCAACCCTTGGGGCCAGACAATGCTTGGCGGTGGGCACTGTCCTGTGTACTGAAGGATGTTTAGTGGTTCCTCTGGCCTCTACATACTAGATGCCAGAAGCACTCATGCACTTGCCATAACTAAAAAAATTAAGCATTGTTAAGTATTTCGAACAACAAAAAAGCCCCTGGTAGAGAACTACTTCATAAAAAAGTTCACAGTATTTACTTCCAGAGAAGCAAGTGGGATGAAAGGTAGCAGAAAGGAATTGTGTGTTTTTCTTTTACTCCACATAGTATAGACTGTGTGGATGCACATTCCTTCTTCATCAAGCACATACTACACATATAACCTTTCCAGAACAATAAGGAAAACAAAACAAAAACATGAAGAATAGGACAGGGTTCAAATGTGTTGTTCACAGGGTCGCTATGAGTCATATTTGGCTCGATGGCACCTAATAAGAAGAACAAGGCTAGTGTTCATACAAACAATAGAATACAGAGACTTCCAAATGATCAGAAAATACATGTTTTTAAGCCACACTCACCTTCATGGGGTTTTCATCATAGGTTGGGGTTCCTAGGTCCATCTCAGCTTCATGCTCAAGGCTGGCATCATCTCCTGGACTTTCCCAAGTAGGAGGATCCCACTGAGTCTGCCTAAAAAGAAATGAGAACATTGTCCTATCATGGCCTAGGAAACAGAATGCTGGCAGAAGTCTGTCTGCTCAGATATAAACAACACAAAAGCTCACACATATTAACCTTAAAAGCTTTATTCTGAGTGAAGTCAGTAAATCCCAAGAGGATACACATGATATGACCCACTTTACTGAATATCTAGAAGGGGCAAATGGAAATTAAAGTTTATTACTAGTTACTAGGGATTGGAAGATGAGGAGTCAGGATCAGGGTGTCACTGTTAGGAAATACTGAGTTTCTATTTATGGGTAAAGTGGCAAAAGACACTAGAGATGACTGCGCAGCATGATTAATATAATGGCATAGTGGCATCCACTTCCTAAACAGCATGCCTCCGGAAACTCTATGAACTTTGATCAATAGTTCTAGAAAGGCTCCAAGCCTTTTGTTCATAGGGTCACTATGACTCGACTCGAAGGCAGTCAACAGCATAATACACAACTGGCTAGTGTTGTGTTATAGATATATTTTAACAATAATTTTAAAAAACCTTAAAAAACTATCTCCATTTCTGGAAATAAGGAAATTCCTGTCCAAGTACCGGAAGTCAGCAGTTTGCAGAACGCTATGACAGGAGTTACTGTAAAATGTCAGAAAACACCAGCCATAACCTGCAGATCACTCCCGCCCTTACAGTCTTCTGCTTTCCTACCATACCCTTCTCTAAGCTAGAAACATTAAAGACCCTCAAAGTTAGCTCTCCAGATGATGTGAAGAGAGGCTCACTGATGGAACCAATTTAAAAACAAAAGGTCAAGATTTCTACTGTAGTGAAAGAGACACAAGCAATCAGCTGTGGGTTTTAGTAGGGAAAAGAAATAGATAATTGTCTACTTCCAAGAGCTCATTAAGGAAAAGGGGGAAAGGAGATATAAATGAAAAATGTAATCCTGCTTTTAGAAAAGTGATGTTGTATTAAAAAGCTTTTACTGGTGTTGAAAGAACAAAGCTGTGGTTAAGATTACAAAGCACTAGTTTTTTAAAAACATACTATTTTTAGCTAGAAGAAAGCTTTGTTTTATAAGATTTTTTTAAAATGAGAGTTAGGAAGGCTTTTGTAGCATAAATCATAAAGGGAAAATATTTGGTGGTATAAGATTTTAAAACTCTTTGTGTCACAAGACACCATGAGCATGTGCAATATCCCTGATAAATAGAGCTAACAATGGAAAAAGAAATAAATGCCTCCAGTAAACAAGATATATATATCAAATTAGCTAATGAAGAAAGTCGAGTTCAACAATAAAAGACTTGGTAGTGGATAGCAAGATTTCTCATCTATTAAGAGATTAAAAGAATTTCCTTTTTGTACACATGGGGAATCTAAGTTGGGTCAAACCAATTTTCTAAATGGTGAGATATTTTCAATAATATCTTTATAAATGTAAATCTTGGAATAACTTCCAAGAATTTACTTTAAAAAGTAGTAGTAGTATCCTTAAGAATGTTCAGTACAGGGTTATAGTAAATGTAAAATAGTGACAGTCTATCGGATGGATCAATTAAATTTTGATTTAGTGGGTTAGCAAATACTTTCTGTAAAGAATAAAAAAATTAGTATTTTTCTTTTGTAGGCCAGTGTCATGTGAAAGCAGCAACTGGCAAGAGGTAAATGATTAAGTGGTCTGCATTCTAATAAAACGTCATTTGCAAAACAATGAGCTCACTTGCCAACTCGCTATACTACAGCGTGTATGAAATATAACTTAATTCTTAAGATAAAGAAAAAATAATCTAAGAAGTAAAATGCATTGTGTTTGAGTCAGAACAGACTTATAGCTGACCCTCCACAGTGATTCCAAGACTGTAAGAGAATGTTCATCTTTTCCTCACAGAGCTATTTGGTGGAGAGAGGCTCAGACATTGAGTGGCACAGCTTACAGGCTGACTACTCCACCAGAGCTCGTAAGTAAAAAAAATTTCAAAGAGCACACCCTAGTAATTTATATTAAAACATGCCCACAAGTACACGTACATATATAAAAGTATATATATCCATAAATAAAATACATATTTTATGTATTTAAAATACATATCCATTCAAATGAAGCTGCCAAAAGAGTTGGGTTTATTTTTTTTTTTAAAGAAGTGAATTGTCATCTACAACCAGGATAAAATAGATGAATGGGACCTTCTAAGAATCAAATCCCTATGCACATCCAAAAATATCTCCAATAGGGTAAAAAGGGAAGCTACAGAATGGGAAAAAATATTTGGTAATGACATGTTAGACAAAGGACTTATATCTAGAATTTATAAAATACTTGAGCACCACAAGATAAATGAACCAACTGAAAAATGGGCACAGGATATGAACAGACACTTCACCAAAGACGACATTCAAATGACCAACAAACACATGAAGAGATGTTCAAAATCCCTAGCTCTAAGAGAGATGCACATCAAAACAACGATGAGATATCATCTCACCCCAGTAAGAATAGCAACATTTAACAGAACAGCAAGCAACAAATGCTGGCGAGATTGCGGAGAAATTGGAACCCTTATTCACTGCTGGTGGGAGTGTAAAATGGTGCAACCACTATAGAAGGCTGTATGGCACTTCCTCAAAAAGTTGCAAATAGCATTACCACTTGACTCAGCAATTCTACTACTGGGAATATACCCTAAAGAAACCATAACCACCACCCAAGCAGATACATGCACACTCATGTTTATTGCGACTTTGTTCACAATAGCAAAGAGCTCGAAATAACCCAAGTGCCCATCAACAAACGAATGGATAGAGAAGCTCTGGTATATTCACACAATGGAATACTATGGTGCATTCAGTCACAAAAAGACAAATATTGCATAGGGTCACTGTTATAAAACAGGGCTGACATCAGGGTTGAGGGAAGACTGAGAAAGAGGGGATTAACAAAATGTATACTGCATTGAAACAGATGAGGGAGAGAACTGTTTAAAAGGGATATGTGATTGACATGTGATTAAGTATTACTGTCATGACAGGAGTCCAGAATGAAGGCTACACAGTAGAGTGAAGTTAGGGGGGAGGAGGTGAACAGGGAGAAAATGCAACAATGAATGAATGGAAACCCTAAGTCTTTGTAAATTTTCATTAAAATTAAAAAAAAAAAGTGAGTTATCTTTTTTTTTTTCCTTTTCTTCTCCCTGCCTCTTTTTAAACAGTCCCTCGGTAAGGACTATCCACTTAGCTTTGTATCCAAAGACGAGATTTGTAGGAGTTAGGAGTTAGCCTTCGTTACAGACTGGTTCATTTCAGGGTCAAAAATACGGAACGCTTCACGAATTTGCGTGTCATCCTTGCGCAGGGGCCATGCTAATCTTCTCTGTATCGTTCCAATTTTAGTATATGTGCTGCCGAAGCAAGCACCAAAAGTGAGTTATCTTGAGCTTGTGGTGCTCCCGTAAGTTGTAATTCCTATATTTTTAATTTGTTTACCACAAGAAAATAATTTTTGTCAGGGGAAAAAAATAATCCATTCTTTTTCACTTGTTGTCAATTTTACTTTTAACAGAGGTACAATTCATTGACAGCAATTACATTAATTGGCGGAACAAATCAAACCTACCCTTAATCAATGTGATTTTTTCCTTACCAAAACCCAAAGTTCAGTACACCTTCACTTCTGCCGCCTTCTCATCCCTAGTCATAAACACGAGTCTCTATACACCTGACTGCTCTCGTTCTTTTTATCGAAGCCAGGTAACACATATTGTTCTTCTGTTAGAGTTATTTCACTCAGTATGTTTTCAAGCTCCATCCATATTCTACATCCATAAACTACAGCATACACTACAGTGTATCTCAGTATTTCATTTCTCTTAGAAGCTGAGAGGATTTTATTGTACGCATGTACACATCTTGTTTATCCATTCATTTGTTGCTGGGAATTTAGACCACAGCAATGAAAATTACTATGGCAGTCTCTGCTTTCATGTCTTCTAAGAATGTCCCTAGAAGGAGAACTGTTGCTTCATATGGTTGTTCTATTTCAGTTTTCTGAATCACTGTCATACTATTTTCCACAATACCTGTCCATTTTGTATCCCCACCAGCAACAGATAATAATTCCAATTTCTCCACATCTTAACCAACATTTCTTATTTTGGGGTTTTCCTTAGTTATTATCTAGGTAGACGTGAAATGGTTGCCTGCTGTGGTTTTAATGTGCATCTCTCTGCTGACTAATGAACTGATCAATTTTTCATGTTTCTGGAGGTCAACTAGATATGCTCTTTGACCTAGCAATGGTTTTTATGATTGGGTTGTTTGTCTTTTCTGTTAAGATGTTGACATTTTATATATAGATATTTTGATTACTGTTAATGACCCTTGATATTGACACTGTTAGAGTCACAATCAACTTAACACTTTTTCATTTTCTCCAAGAGTGTGGTGTGCACTCCCCCAGCAAAAGTCTAAGGTCTTACATACATTTAAGATAAGATTCTGAAAATGTAGCAGCCTCAAGTACAGTGGACATCCAATGATGGCAAGTCTACAACCAAACTTTTATGGTAGCCATTTCTTTGGCCAACCCAAAGTACAACTTGGAGAGATCAACACACCCCTCTTACCTTGTGATGACATGGTAGTAGTAAATCTTCCCTTCTGGATCTCGAGCTGTCTTCCAGTTGGGAGGTAAGACAATGGTTTTTGGCTTGGGAGGAGAGGGAGGTGGCAGATCCAGGAGATTATTTGTCACAACCATTTCAGGCTTGAAAAAACATACACATGTTAAGTTTTCTTTTCATCTGACTGACCAGGACAAAGAATTAAGAAATAATATGCAAAAAGGGATACCTACCTTTTTTGTTTAAAAAAAAAGGTTAAAGGAAAAGTATAAGCTGAGAAATTATTAAAGATGTGGTGTACATGAAGAGCTTTTATATGAAGAATTTGACAGTTCTATGTTGTAACACTGAAAAATACTCGACAGCTCATTATCCAAAAAATATGATTTTTCAATCTTAAAATGTGAAATGGTATTCAGCTTTAGAACATTGATTAGACGGGTAAGTTTCAGATACAACTCTTTCCAACCAATGTAATTTTTCTTTATATCTGAAATAACTTTATTTAAAAAATATGATGACACACTTTGAAAACTTAATTGTTCCTTTTATATTAGCCAATCAATGAAAAATAATCTTCTCAGGTTTATTTTTGTTCAAGCAGCTGAAGGAACAAATGGGACAACACACTTGGTTAAATATGCCTCTTTTAATCAAATACAGGCCTGTGAGCATCCTGATCTGCTCATACTACCTTGTAGCACTATTTCGTTTAGCTGGTTTCGGCTGGATCTTTTTTGGAGATGTGTACCAGCTAAAGTTCCCCTTGTTTCGTTTGCTACGGTGATCTTTCCTGAAAGTGATCAGGTTGCTCTGGTGGCCTAGTCCTAGTGAGTAAAGGTTGTGCTGACACACCAAAGGCAGGTGGTTTGAATACATCAGCTGTTCCAAGGGAGAAAGATGGGCAATCTTCTTTTGTGTGATTTATAGGCTCTGGAAACCCACTGGAGAGTCGGCTATGAGTCAGTCAGTTGCTATTCCATAGCACACAACAGTAATAATTACTCAGCTTGTAAAGCGATCTCTTTACCCTAAAATTACTGTCACTTAGGAAAATTCCAAATTTGTTATTTGATCAGTTATTAACTCCTCCTTCTTAAAGCATGATTCTTTCTCTCAAGTACTAACCTTATTCTTTACCTTTAAGTATTCAAATCTGACTATCATCTTTTATTTATGTCAGATTCTTAGGATAGGAATGAAATAATTTTCACATTTGTATTTAAAATGCCAAGAACAACCAAGCATATATAGCAAGCATTCAAATAGCTGCTTAAAATACAGCATCTTGCTGTATACCATCAAGTTGGAACTGACCCATGGATGATCCTCCAGCAGGTTTGTGGAGGCAGTAAATCACAAAGGGTACTGCCCATCTTTGTCCTGTGAAGCAGCTGATGGATTAAAACTGTGTTCCTTTGGGTTGGCAGTGCAATTATTTACAACTAAGTCATTATAGCGCTAGTTCCCAGTTATTTCACATAGTTCCTACTGTCTAAAGCCAGAGCCTTCTTCAGAATTGCCAGTATTCAAGAAGTTAATCTGATACAATAGAGTCAATTATTTCTCATGTCAATGTTTCATCATGAAACAACAAACCAAAATATCCTCCAAGAGTTCACTATATTTTTTTATATATGCTGCAGAATACTGAAAACTTGGCTTCATATTACAGATATTTTAGTAGCATATACAGTAAAACATATGATTCATGTCAAAGCAGTTCTAGAAGCTAGCCCATGGTCACTAGGAGAGTATCATATTCTGTTATTAGGTGCTGTTGAGTCGGCTCTAGTTCAAGGCACACCTCGATATAAAAGTAAACAACCTTGCCTGATCCTGTGCCATCCTCACAATTTCGGCTATACTTAAATCCACTGCTGTAGTCACTGGGCCAATATCATATTCTAGTCATTAAGTAGCTACTATGAAGAGATGGATAGTTTGGTAAATACAGATTTTTTTTAAAAAAATCAAGGTCAGGATAACAACATATGAAACAGATCATAGGAAGAAAATACCTATCAATAAAAAGAGCTATAAATTTCACAGAATTAAAAAAGAAAAGAAAAAAAAAACACCTGAGAAAATGCCCGAGTAGTACCTCTGAAGGGTGCTCAAGCAGCTGGATGAAAGTACGACTACGCAAATCAACAGAAAAACGAAGTGAAAAACAAAACAAAATGAAAAACCTTCTAAAGACAAGGCAGACATCCAATGAGAGTTTTAACAACCAAAATTTATATCTTACTGGTTGTAGGGGCTGAGGCTGTCCCGGTGCAACAATTGTAGTCACGGCTGCAGCTGGCTGTACCACCACTCCTTGTGGATGAGCCGTGAAAATCTGTTGTCCCTGGATGTACTGAAGACTTGACTGTGCATAACTCTAAAAAAAGGAGAAAATGAGGAAATTAGTAAGTTTTACTTGTCTAGCCTAATAAAGCAGTAACAACTGCCAAACTGGTACCATCTTAATATATGCACACTTTTGTTTTGACATTTGGATACAAATATCAAAAGTGCAAAACTTTTTAAAAATTTCAAACAAAATAGTTTTGTTTTCAGATTCTTTAAGTGCTTATTTACAGTGGTGATGCTTTAGCATAAGTATACAGAGAAATGTCCAACTGTTTCACTTCCGGTGAGACTGCAGTTAACAAGGAAGATGCTGGTTCTACCTAGGATATAAGAACAGCTCCATGCTGCTCTCTTCAGAAAAATCTTCTGCTATTAGCTTCTAATAGCATATTCTGCTTAGAAAAGTTCAAAATGGAATAAGAAGGTGACCAATATTAAAACTAGTGTTCTAGCCTTTGGCGTCTCTAAGATAGAATTCTTTCCTAGAAAAAACAGAAGAATTCATAGGACCTGGACTGCTTACTACTTATCATTTTATTTGGTCCACAAAGGCCAATCACTTTAGTCCTGACTACCATGGCAGACAGATATTGCCCATATCTTAAGTCATATTAAGAAATAAGTACCTTGGTTCTTCATACTTATTCTACAATAACGGGTTTATACAATATGAAGTTCCAAGGGGGGGGGGAGGAAGGTGGAAGTAGAGGGATGTGTATATGTGTGTGTGTATATTAATCATGGGGTTGTACAATTTGATGGGTTGGGGGGGTTGAGGGAAATTGGAAGAACAATGTATGTGAATTTTTAAAAAATGTTATTTTTTTAAAAAAATTTATTATTTTGTGTGTATGCACCATCAAACTGCATCTGACAGATACAGGAGGAGATTGCCCCTCCTTTTCCAGGCAGAGCATCTGGTGGATTTGAACCACGTACCTCTGGGATTGTAGTGCAGCTTCTTGCCACTAGACCACCAGAGCTCCCTTAATATATTCGAATTTTGTAAATAAATTAGTATAAATAAACAAACAAACAGAAATAAATACTATGTTCAGGACTTAAATATACACTGAAATGATTTTTCCTTATTAAGGAAAAACTACTTCAAACTTCAATATGTGACAAGACGCCTACAAAACATCCTTGTTGCCTTAAGATGTGACAAATGCCAAGGAGGAAAAAAAGAAAGAAAAAAAACAAAAAATAAAACCACACAACCAGCCAGAGCCTATTCGCGTCAACAGACTCAGAGTCCGTGAAAGCCCCAATCCCAGCTTTTTGTCCTCTGAGAACACTAAGAATGTCCCTGCTATCAGTTTTTGCTCGAACCAATCACCTGCCATGCCTGGAATCGGAATCGCACCTAGATTGCCCTTAGCCCCAATAATCATGAAGTCCAAATCTACAAGAAGAATAAGAGCCAGTGGGTCAAAGCTCATGAGCTCAAGGAGCACAACGGGCACATCACAGGCATTGACTGGCCACCCAAGAGCGACCACATCATCACCTGTGGGGCAAACTGCAATGCCTACGTCTGGAGTCAGAAGGATGGCATCTGGAAGCCCACCATGGGGTCCTGCAGATCAACTGGGCAGCCACGTTCGTGAAGTGGTCCCCACTGGAGAACAAGTTCACCATAGGCAGAGGAGCACAGCTCATCTCCGTCTGTTACTTCAAGTCCAAAAATCGACTGGTGGGTCAGCAAGCATATTAAGAAGCCCATCCACTCCACGGTCCTCAGCTTGGACTGGCATCCCAACAACATACTACTGGCAGCAGGCTCCTGCGACTTCAAGTGCAGGGTGTTTTCTGCCTACATTAAAGAAGTGGATGAAAAGCCAGCCAGTACACCAGGGGGCAGCAAGATGCCTTTTGGCCAGCTGATGTCCGAGTTCGGTGGCGGTGGCACCGGGGGCTGGGTCCACAGCGTCAGTTTCTCTGCCAGTGGGAGCTACCTGGCCTGGGTCAGCCATGACAGCACCATGTATGTAGCCGATGCCTCCAAAAGTGTGCAGGTCTCCACTCTGAAGACAGAGTTCCTGCCCCTCCTGAGTGTGTCATTTGTGTTGGACAACAGTGTCGTGGCTGCTGGCCATGACTGCTGCCCGATGCTTTCTCTTCAACTATGATGACTGTGGCTGCTTGACCTTCATCTCCAAACTGGACATTCCAAAACAGCATCCAGTGCGATGTCGTGGCCATGGAGCGCTTTTGCAACATGGATAAGCGGGCCACCACCGAGGACCACAACACTGCTTTGGAGATGCTGCACCAGAATAGCATCACTCAGGTGTCCATTTACGAGGTGGATAAGCAAGACTGTCGTAAATTCTGCACTACTGGTATTGATGGAGCCATGACAATTTGGGATTTCAAGACCCTGGAATCTTCCATCCAGGGCCTCTGAATAATGTGAAGCTGAGCAAACCCCGGAGACTGAGCCAGCATGACCAGCTGCAGCTGCCTGCCTCCCCGCCCGCAAGAAACACCGAAAACACGGACCATGCAGATGCTCCTGTGTATGTGTGCGTGTGATGAGCGTGAGAATAGAATTGTGAAAGTGGTGATATTTTAAAAGCAGCAAAGATTTATCCCCCCTAACCTGTTTCATCCCATTTTTGACCAAAGCTTCTCTTTAAACAACTGAGACTGGAAAACTGCCATACTGACCTAAAGGAAGGGGGGCAGGTATGTAAATCATCTGCTAGAAAATAGAATAAAACTGCTAAATGGGGGGGGGGGACCAGAACACACAAACAAAAAAAAACCCACAACCAAAAACCAAACAAACGTTAAGGATAGACTTTGAATAGACATGACCTTAGAAGTTGAGATTCATTCAGCTAAACTGATTCCAATGAATTAAGTGATAAGGATTCAAAATGTAGTAATTCCAAATGATAACTTAATTCTGAATAAGGCAATTTAGCCATCCAGATATATAATTACTGAGAAGACCAAGATAAGAGTAAAAAGAATTAAGAATAGGAAGAAAACTGCATGTGATTCAGTATATAAACTAGCTAAGCTATACAGATAATAAAATCAGGTTTAATGTCAACTGTTAAGTAGAATTATTATGATAAAATCACAAAGCCTGAGAGAAAAAAAAAGTGTGTGCATTAGACTTGCTTTCCTAACAATTCTAATTGCTTTCATAGCAATTCTACTCCCTTGTATGGGATACAAGGCAGGGAATCTAAGCAATATTAACGACATTGTAGAAACAAGTACTAGATCACCATCTCCCAGACCTGATTAAACTCCAAATAGTTGAGGTGGGGTTTTTTTTGTCTTCACCAGTCACCTAAACTCAGATCACAAGGACTCAGAGATCAGCACGAAAGGAGGTACTGGCAAGAAATAAAAAAGCAGGAGGCATCAGAAAGGGAGCATTAATCAAATAATGTTAAAAAACTTAGAACCCACAAGGAAAACCTATCTCCTAGGTTCCATTTACCTGGAATGTGAGTTTCCAAGACAATCATACCAGGAAAAAAGAATCCAAAATGCACATATAACAGGCAAGTTACTACTACGCATGTAGAGGAATACATATGGTTAATAATACTGACTTTCAGCAGGAATAGTTTCTGGGATTAATAAACAAATATACCGGAAATTTTTCAGCCAACAATGCTGAGCACAAGGCCCTTCTTTCCCTGACCTGCTCCTTTCATTCCCAATCATGAGCAACTCTTGTTGGTTTTGCCTCTGGAATATACATATAAAATATGTCCATCTCTCATACTTCTACTCTTACTATTTCAGTGTAGGCCCTCATATTCTCTTGTTCAGAGTACTCAACAGCTTTCTAGCTTCCCTAAATTTTGCCCCCAACTCAAAAACACCTTTTCCTGAAGCAGCTAGACACACCAGACCGCGTGTGTTTGTGTGTAACCAGTAGACTAAGAACACAAAAGAAAACTAGTATTTTGGAGGCTAAAATTCTTTTGATCCTTAGTGACATGAAAATTTGTCTTACAAGAACAGAAGAGTAAGGCTCATCATGCAGACATGTGATTAATGTGGATTAAAACCCTTGGTTTCTTTCATTTAGACTGACTTCAAATGCTGCCTGTAAGACAGCATCTGAACAGAGATTACAAAGCTTTTTCATTCCTTGTCTTTATTCACTAGAACAAACTCCAGGCCAATGTCAGCTGTTTCAAAACAGCAAAATATATTTAAAGGATGATGCTTTGCCATCAGCAAAGAGAGGAACACACAAATTGAAAGTAACTTTTGAAGGAGATGCCACAAATGCCTATAAAGCAATCATCACTGCTAGACTGAAAAATATTGAAGACAACAGATTGATGTAGCAATGCATTATTTAAAAATCAAACTGTACGCAAGTAAACTCCCTGTGGTCAAGGATGATTCTGATTGACAGCAACTCTCCACTGGGTTTTCAAGACTAGAAATCATTTAAAGAAGAGAAGGCTCATCTTTTCCCTAGAGGGCAGCTGGTGGATTTGAACTGCTGGCCTTTTGTTAGCAAAGCAACATGTAATTTGCTAACACCAGAATGTCTTTCAAGCAGCAAAATGCTAAAGAGAAACAAGCTGTAAATGGAGATTTTTAAATTTTAAATCATCTTTTCCTAGCCAAACCAACTAATAATCATATGCCAGTGTCAAAAACAATGATGGCAAAAATCTACATCAAATATGCACAAAGATACTGTCCAGGACTTGCTATGCATCAAGAGAGCTGGACAATGACTAGGGATGATAGAAGGAGAATTAATGCCTTTGAGCTGTGCTGTTGGAGAAGAGCATTGAGTGGACTACTAGGAGAACAAACAGGTCTGTTCTGGAGATGATGAAACCAGGTTGCTCCGTGGAGGCAAGCATTCTGAAACTTCATACTTTGGACATGCTGCAAGGAGTGGCCAGTCCTAAGAGAGGGATATCATGTTTGGGAGGGTGGAGAAACAGTGCAAGGGAGGAAGACCCTCAATGAGATGGATTGATTCAATCCCTGGGGTAATAGGGGTAGGTGTTAAGGTTGGCATAAGATAGAGCAGTGTTCAGAGCTGTTGTATATGAGGTCACTTTGAGTCATAAGGACTCAATGGCACATAACAACAACAACAACAACAACAACAACAAATTGTACCTATAGATAGACTGGAAAACGGAAAGCACATGAAACTTTCATGAAGTTTGAGCATCCAGGTTTAGTGTTTAAACCCAAGAACAATGTTCTGGTCACTGGGATCAGGGGGAAATTTTTCTAAGACTAACCATCTGACCAATGAATGAGCCCTCAACTGAGGAGACTTTAATGAATATTCCTATTAGTGTTGCTCAGGTTTTAAAACCTGGCTACAAGAACATTATTTTTAAGAACAGAGACAGAAACAGGTAAGAAATGAATAATTTCTATTGTATCTGTGATACCATTTTCAGGGAAAAGCCTCAACTTACAGCTTAAGTCTCAGAAATATATGGCCAAATGTACTAGAAGTTAGGACCTAAACAGAAATTGTCAATGACTACTAAAACATTACAGGTATCTAAATCCAATATGCAAAAAGCTCCAAATCCATGCCTAATGATCACTAATATCCATTTCTTACTAATTTTATTTAGTACTAAAGCATTCATTTTTAAGCTAAATATGAAAGGAAAAACATAAAATATAAGAACGTTAATGGAACATTATCTGTAATTATGAAGAAAGAAAAAAAAATTATCAATTTAAATGACTTTCTCAAACAACCTGACAGCTAAGTGGGAAATATACACATGCACAAACACACAGATTTTGAAAAATTGTTAAGCGGGAAAAAGGGAAGAAAAAATGTAAACCCTTTAGGATTACAAACACACATGCATGTAGTTAAAGAGACTGTAATAGAAGAATTTCAGGAATAAAAGTAGGACATTCTATAGGGCTACTGGAAGAAAATTACGATACTACAACTTCCTAATAAAAGTACCAATAGAAGTAAAAATCACTGTTTCATATTAAAAATCTCCTCTATCCCATATTACTTTTTCAGAGGTGACAAGCAGTGATGGGAGAGAGACAGAAATATGGTAAGGAGGATGTTGCTTTGTAAAGGCCCTTAAAAAAAAAAGCTTAAAATTATTGCTATACTTTTATTGGGGGGAGGTAACTGATTTGACTTAAAATAAAAACAAAAACAAAAAACTACACTGTGAAACATAAAATTAGTTCAATTCCGGATTTCTAAATATAACATCATCATGTCCAACCAACCAACCAAAGCAGTATCCTCAGGCTCAGTATACGAAAGCCACGCTGGCAAATAAAATAAGTAGATAGAGATGTAGGGCATAAATCAAATAATATACAATGTGGATCTAGAGAAAGAGAGTGGTATTTATCCTCATAACTGCCTTAACAAAGGTTCTACCTTGACAGGAATATAGAAGGATAAACTCTTTACAATTCACTCCCTGTAAACAAGGAGAAGGGTCATCTGAATGATTCCAGTCCAAAACACACTGTAATAGCAAATTCTTCTGCATGGATGATATGGGAGCCAAGCTACAAGGCAGCCCCAATGGCATCTTCAGCCATTCCTACTTATCAGTAGTTGCTCACTGAATTGGGGTTGGTTTGTGTGACCAACAGAAAAGCCCAGTAATGGTATGTCACTTCCAAGATTAGCTTATGAAAGACACTGGAGCTTCCATTCTGGCATCTGTCTTGGATTGCTTGCTCTTGGGAGATGCCAGGTGGCCTATTTTAAACAGCCCTACTGGGAGGCTCATGTAGAGAGGAAATGTCAACCACGAGGGAGCTTAGAAAGAAATCCTTCATTCCGAGTCCTCTCCTTAGTTCTGGCAATAGCTTGACTACAACTTGGTAAAAGGTCCTAAGCCAAAGTCACTGAATTGCTCCAGACTTCCTGATCCATGGAAACTATGACATAATAATTACTTATTCTTTTAAGCTGGTAAGTTTTTGGGTATTTTATTATACAACAGATAATACATAAAAAATTATCAATGTATAAGTGATCAGTGGTATAACCCCTGCTCTTTTTCATCAAATTTAACATCCAGATAGACAAGAGGTTCCAGAATTAAGTTACCTGTACAATTGGTGGCGTTGTCTGTGAATAAGGTGATGTCACTCCATAGACAGTCGGGCACGTTTGACCTTGATAATAGATAGTTGCTTGAGATTGTGCAGGAGAGTACTGCTGTTGTACGCTGCTGACAGACTGTTGATTTGAATCCCAAACACCATAATTCTGTCCCTGGACTGGGCCTGGGGTCGGCACTGGCAAGACAGTGACATTGGAGTCTTGGTGCACGGCACCATCATTCTGGGCCACATACTGTGAACTAGAAACTTCCACAGGGGCTGTCACATGTGGCACCACTGGCACAGGTGGAGGGGCTGTAAGGGGTTCTGTAGAATGTCCCACCAAAGGCTGAGAATGGTCATAAGGAGCAGGAGAGCACACAGGTTCCATGCTGGGTGTGGGCAGGAGCACCTTTCCAGCATTAGGGTTGCTGGGATCCACATAGGCCTGCATGGGGTAACCTGGTGGGTAGCCAGCAAAAGGGTGATGAGAGGCATTGTAGCCAAGAGAGTCATAGGGCAGGGGAGATGTCATTCCCAGGTTCTGCAGCTGCTGTTGTTGTTTTTGAGCCTCTCGCTGAGCCACTTCTTGCTCAAACAACTTCCGGCGCTCCTCTGTAGAAAGTTTATTGCGGTCTTTAATTCGTACTTTCTTTTTTGAAGTTGGTGTATCATATCTAGAAAGAAAAGCAAATAAAGTTTTTCGCTATACTGTAGATGCAATCAACGCACTAGTGTTATCCATGTGGATGATTAGTCAATCCCTAACTATTCCAACTTCAATCTGACATAAGTTAAAAATCACAAAATTACTTAACGAGTCTTGCAGACAGGACAGAACACCTCCCAGGGTATGGATAGAGCTGGTATAGCCCAAAGGGAGTCGTGTAGCTAATCCAAAGTTTGCATCTCTGGTAGTTACAGTCCACCAGCAGCACTGCAAGAGAAAGGCACGTACTCTCCTTTCTGGTGATGGAGAAACCTCTGAAACACCACTGCAGGGCCGGTGCTGAGCTGGTTCATATTAAACTGCCATGAAAACTAAAATACACTACTAAAGGTTACAAAACTTGCTATTATGCCTGACCACATACATTTTGAGCAAATAACAAGAGAGAGTTAACTAAGTGAAGGGTGAATATACACAAGTACAGAGCATTAGTCACACACTTTTCTGCACACTACAATGCCAGCTTAATATACTGTGGTGGTCTTGACACGTATTCCAGCAGACTCACAGTATCAATCAGAAGATTCACAAGAGACTTAAAGACTTAAAAGATTCTTGCAAACTTCTATGCAGAGACTGGAACTTTTAAAAATGTTCCCTTAGCAAAAATAAGCAATGAATACTAATTTCAGGATGTTTCATTGTCAGGAGGTTAATTATGAGCACAATGCCACTGATAAGGTCTTAATATTTAACTAAGCAAGAACAAGATAAAGAGCTATGGTCTTAAAACACTCTCAAGCTAAAAATTTCCTTTAAAGTACTAATAGGTGGTATACCAGCAATCTCAGATGCTCAACAGAGACAAATGTAAACTTTCTATAGAAGAAAACCCAAACCAAATCCACTGCCATTGAGTTGATTCTGACTCATGCTAACCCTTCATCAAGTCTCCACAGCTGTACATTCTCACAGAAGATTCCTCATCTCTCACCTCTGAAATGGCTGGTGGGTTAGAAGTCCAAACCTTATTAGCAGCTCAACATGTAACACATTGTGACACTAGTGATCCTGATCTACAAAGGAGAACACCCTAAATCTAGTCTTCTATTAATTCTCACAGAACAAGTTGTATGAAACATAAAGCAATTAAAAATTACACTTACACACACACACAAACAAGAGGACTACATCTACAAAGACTGCCAACATTAGAATCATCCACTATCTATAAACAAGTATGTTTAATTCACTTAATGAAAGAGACTATGAAAAATATGATGAAATAAACAAGATCAAGTTTTATCAGATCAGGAAAAGAACCCTATGAAACATCTAGATTAAAATTAAACAACCATACAAATTTGAGCAGTCAATGCAAATCAACATAAAGTGGAGAGAAAACCCCCCCACACTAAGCAAAGACACTCTTGTACATGTATACCAAAAACAATGTGTAAGATCATTCATAGAGGTACTACTCAAGTAGCAAAAATTTCAAAGAATTTGAATGATCAACAGGAGACTAGATGATTTGCTATGGTATATTCACATAGCAAAATGTCACACAACATTAAAAATGAGTAAACTCAAAATACGTAATACTAATGATATAGTATCAGTGGGGAAGGGGGTCAGAGCCACCATCATCAAGTCAGTCCTGACTCACGGTGCTCCTACTGGGCAGAGCAAACTGTCCTAGGTTTCAAAGGCTGTAACTCTCTAGAAAGCTGGCCAGCACATCTCTTCTTCCACGGAGCAGCAACTGATAGGTTCAAAATGCCAACCTTTTAGTTAGCAGTAAAGAACTTTAACATTTGTATCCTGAGAACTCCCGAAGTTAAAAGGATATATTTTTTAATATATACTATAGGGGACATAACCTGTTATTTGAAAAAAAGGAAAGGAGAATAATAAATCCAAAATTAAGATTATATGACCTTCTAAGAATAAAATCCCTATGTACATCCAAAAATGTCTCCAACAGGGTAAAAAGGGAAGCCACAGACTGGGGAAAAAGTTTTTGATAATGATATATCAGGTAAGGGACTATCCAGAATTTCTAAAATACTTGAGCACCACAACAAGATAAAGCTAAACAACCCAACTGAAAAATGAGCACAGGATATGAACAGACACTTCACCAAAGAAGACATTCAGATGGTTAATAAACACATGAAGAAATGTTCAAAATTCCTAGCTCTAAGAGAGATGCAAATCAAAACAACTATGAAATACCATCTCACCCCAGTAAGAATAGCAAAATTTAACAGAACAGCAAGCAACAAATGCTAGCAAGGTTGTGGAGAAACTGGAACCCTTATTCACTGTTGGTGGGAGTGTAAAATGGTGCAGCCACTATGGAAGGCTGTATGGTGTTTTCTCAAAAAGTTGCAAATAGAAATATCATTTGACTCAGCAATTCTTTGGAATAGACCCTAAAGAAACCACAACTGCCACCCAAGCAGATATATACACACCCATGTTTATCGCGGCTTTGTTCACAATAGCAAGGAGTTGGAAACAACCTAAGTGCCCATCAACAAACAAATGGATAGAGAAGCTGTGGTATATTCACACAATGGAATACTATGCTGCATTGAAAAACAAGGAACTCATGAAATATTATTCAAAATGGATGACCCTGGAGGACATTATGCTGAGAGAAATATCTCAATCACAAAAGGACAAATACTGTATAGTGACACTGCTATAAATGGGAGTGGCATAGGGGTTGGGTGAAGACTGAGAAAGATGGGATAAATTATGTATACTGCATTGAAAGAGATAAGAGAGAGAACTGTTTAAGAGGTATTATTTATGATTAGGTATTATTGTCATGACATGAGTCCAGAACAAAGACTGCATAGTGGAGTGGACTTGGGGGGAGGGATTGGGTAACAATCCAAGAATTTTCTTTTACTTTTCAAAGAGAAGAATGAACTGGAGGGGAAGAGAGTGGGCAGGGAGAAAAGTGCAAAAATGAATGAATGGAAATCTAAAACTCTCTGTAAATTTTCATTAAAATGAATAATAATAAAAAAAAGAAAAAATTATATGACCTCAAGTAGCAAAGGAACAGGAATGGATAAATATGAGTGACACAGCAAGAGTCACATAACTAACAATCCTAGCTCTCATTTTGGGATCTCTGGTACTCATTATAAGGGAAGACAAAGTCTATATTTAAATTAGAGTGTAACAAATTAAAGAATAATTTCATAATTCATTTCAGGACATAAAGACCATTAAAGACTAAAGTGTGCCTGATTCAAGTCACAGTATTAAACTTTATCCTATGGATCTGAAAACTGGATAATGCATAAAGATGGAGGGAGAAGAACTGATGCCTCTGAATTGTGGTGGTGGTGAAAAATACTGAATATCAATGGACTGCCAAAAGCTGCAAACACCCACTAACAATTAGAACACTGAATGTATAAAGTACAAAGGTGGAGTGATGGGTCAGTGAAAGAGAGGAAGACTGTTAATGAGATGATAGATGACAGAGTGACTACAGCAATGGGCTCCATTGTGTCAGGGATAAGGACATAAGGACAGTTAAGGAGAGAAAAGATCTAAGATCTGTTGTTCACAGAGTTGCTACTTATCAGATACAGAGAGTAAGGAAAAAAGGACTTCCTAATTAAATCTCTATGAACAGAAATATAGACTATGTCTTTTAAATCACACCCCCCCCCCTTTCAGGGGACAGCCCGAATACTAATATGCCACAAATTATACAGTCGAGTTTCTCACATTTGGGGAAATTACAGGGGTCAGCATATCTGCATATCCGGAGTGCAGTGGGTAAGCCTCGCCCTATGAAACTACCCTTGTGATCATGGTATCTCCCCTGCTAAGTAAGTAGATATTAATATTAATAATATTAATATTAAAGAAACTTCAAACTAGACTATAAAGCAAGTCTTAAGAACAATTCTAAGAACTGCTTTACTACATGCAAAGTAATGTATTTAAGTATAGAATTTATGATATTTAAACACCTTTGGAAATGAAAAAGTATTCTGATGTATATTATGAAGTTACATTATCAAAATCTAGTTTTATGAAACTTTATGAGGAAATCTGGAGTCTTTGTCAAATGTTCAACTATTCAAAAAACTTGGTGGTGAAAAGGACCCAGGCAGTGGCCCTAGAGGTCAGAACTTCCCCAGAGGGTTTTTCCAAGGCTGTCAGGGAAGCAGATGAGCATAATTTTCCTGTCAAACAAATGGTAGGTATGCACCACCTACCTATCAGTTAGCAACCAATCACTTTAACCATCATACCACCAAGGATTCAATCACACAGTCAGAGAATTCTGACAATTACAGAACAGAATGTTATTTTCCACAAACCCAACTTAATTGAAAAAGGACTTCTCTGAAATGAAGGAGTCATCAGTGACTCCACAGGATAAAGGTGAGGCTGGCTCCTCCAATAGAGAGTTATCGCCTCACAAACCTGATGCAAAGTTTCCATGAGCTGGAATCAACTCGAGGGCTGTGGGCTTGGTCTGGATTTCTCAGAAATCTTTTAGCCCTCCCGTAAAAGATTATATCGGGGATCTCTGGTGGTCTAGATCATAGGGAGATTTGCTGCTAGGCCAAAAGCCGAGCCTTTCTGACAAAATCCACCAGTAGCTCTGAAGAAGATGGGTAAAGTCCACTTGCACAATTTACAATTGCAGAAACCCACTGGAGAGTCAACTATGCATCAGATCAGATTGGCAAGTAATGAGTTTTGTTTGGGTAGTGATTACATGGTCTGTTTTTTCACTAGCATAACCAAAGAACCAAAGATGTAGTGCTCAGTTTTTGTGCTAAGATAGCCTAAGATTCATCAGTAAATAAAGTTTTGATTTTTGAAAAATTATCATGATCTTTGGAGGATTATATCCTAACAAGCCCCCTGCACTTCAATGAAGACGATGCTATTGTATACTGTAGTGTTGGAATCAATCCACAGTCGACTCTCCAGCAGGTTTTCAGAGGCAATTAATCTCACACAGGAGGCGACTGTCCAACTTCCTTCCTTGGAGTAGCTGGTAGATTCAATCCACATACCTTTGGGTTAGCAGTCCAACTCCTTACCATTAGGCCACCAGAGCTCCCAATCTCCTTTCACTTTAAAAGAATAAATCTTTGTCCTTCCAAGTAACATAAAAAATGATTCCTGCTTCAGATCAAGCACCAATAATCCACTAGCCTACATAGCTTCCAGGTAAAAAGAGAACATGTCTCAAGATTTATCAGTAAAATTTTATATTTTACTAAAGCTTTTGATGTCCCAATGTATAAGTACAGGCAGTCCTTGGGTTATGAATCAGATCCATTTCTAACTGTGGCTTTAGAACTCTCAGGTCAGTTAGAACAGGAGCATACATACAATTCTTATTTAGTCGTATTTCATAAAGAGCAAAAAGGAGCCCTAGTGGCATAGTGGTGAAAGAATCCTGTTCTTAACCAAATGTTGACAGTGTGAACCCGCCATCTGTTCCTATCCTGAGGGAGAAAGATGAGACAGTGTGTGTCCATGAAGATTTAGAGTCTTGGAAACTGAAGGGTAGTTCTACCCTGGGGAGTTCTGACTGCCTAGTGGGTCAAGAGTTGTACTGCCTGCCACCCCACAAAAGCAGGTGGCTTGAATCCAACAACTACTTTGCAGGAGAAAGCAATCTCTTCTGTGATTTACAGCCTCTGAAAAATGGATGGTAAGTCAGCTAAATCAATTCTGATTAAATGGCAGTGAGTTTGAGTCCTATTCTGAACTACAGGATCACTGAGTCAGAATTGATTCTATGGCAGTATGTTTTTGGTTTGGTGCAAGAAGATGCTTAAAGCTTTTTCAATGATTTAAAAGCTGCGTAAACAGCAAGTGAACATGATTGTGACACAGAATTTGTTGCACATAGGGATTGCTTTCAACATTTCAAAATGAAGACAAATTAATACAACTTTAAAGCAAGGTTTGAAGGATGTGGTGCCTTCCTCAAAGATGGTGACCAATCCATTATTCTGAATATATGTAGCTTTCCACAATTCTGTGAATAATCCAATTTCTCTTATCAGGCTCTGAAAGGGCTCACTGTCCCTCTGTCAGGTCTCCCATTCCCAAACTTCAACACAGAATACAAGATGACTGCTCACACTGTAAAAATTGTCTGTTTGGCTCTGTAAGCCATGACTGAACCAGTCTGAAACACTGCATAAAGTGCCAGAAGGAGTTTCTGAAAGTTGGATGTTTGCAATTTAGAGACTTAGGCACTTAGTGACCTATTCTGAAAAAAACAGTAACTCAAGAGACAACTTACCTGTCATCTGGCCTTTTTGATCCTCGCTCATAGGCTGAAGAGGGTGGTGAGAGGGAGCCCCTTCGTTTCCTTTTCTCTTTACTCTGAGTTTGTTTGTCTGGGTCTCTCTCTCTTGATCTGTTAGGAGTCTTTGGGGCAGCTGTTTGATCTCTGAAGCCCACAGGATCCCTTCCTCGTTCAGTTATTACTGAAAAATGGTTTTAAAAAGTTAACTATCACTGTAATTATCAACTGTATAGCAATTTCGTATATACAAATGAATCTAAAGATTCCTCCCACATTTACCTTTATATTGTCCTATACTTGGATGAGACAAAGATTATGTGTATGTACATAAACACACACACAACAATAATTCTCAACCTCTTCTGGAGTTTGACTCCCTGAAAATCTGATGAAGATTTTGAAATTTCCAGAAAAATTTATTTTACATACAAACATCTAGAAATAAAGCCTTGTCACAAGTCTTTTAAGAGCCTATGAACAACAGATCTGAACCCTATCCTATCCTATGCCATTCTTATCATTCTCAACACATTTGAGTCCATTACTGCAAACAGTGCATCAATCCATCCTACGGAGGGTCTTCCTCTCTTTGGCTGACCACCTTTCCAATCACGATGTCTGTTTCCAAGGAGCTGCCTCTCCTAATAACATGTCCAAAATAAGTGAGATGAAGCAGCTCCCAAGCCTCTAGGGGTATATATTTAAGAATGTCTGCATTACAGGAATAAACAAAACAAAGAAAAGCTTTATACTAAAGGTCATAACTTAAAAAAAAAAAGTCACGACTTCAAGGATAACCATACAAGCAGTATGAGGAGCAACTTTTTTGGCAGAGTCACTAAGAAAGCATGAAAGGGTACAGGTCTCCAAACCGTCAGACCAAATTTCACGTACTACTTACACAGTTTGTTTCTGTTACCTTAGCATATTTCTGAAAAATATTTGTAAAATCATATATACAGAGTATCTCTTGGAATACCTACTTGTGTTCTCCTTTTCAGTCTGACTTTTCTTTGGAATTCGATACACCTCCTATAAAAAAGAAACCAGGATAAGTATTAATAATGTGAAGTGGAAGAGGTGATTGCTCTGAAGTAGATTATACATGCCAAAAAATAAATGAGTGGGAGCAACTGTGTTTAATTTTCATTAATGTGACTTACATAGTTGACTTTAAATAACAATAGATCCTGACCCCTTACATAGAAGTAAACATGAGTATATTTAAAAAATAAGATACCTACATTTTTAAAAAAACCCTCAAACTTGCTGCCTTTTGAGTTTGAACTGATCACAGTTGACCCAACAGTGGAGTCTTGGAAGCTCTAAATTGCACAGGACTGCCCATGTTTCTGTAACAGAGCAGCTGCTAGATTAGAACTGCTGATCTATGGTTTGGCAGAACAACTCTCCAACAATGAACACACCAAAGTTTCATCAGTAACTCTTTTTTACTAACTCAAAGAAATCCAAAGCAGATTTTTTTCCCTTTATGAAAAATAAAACTAGGATTCTGTTTTGATTTTATACAGCAAATCATCAAAGCAGCAGCATGCACTCAGAAGCAAGAGTGGAGTCAACCCGCTCCCACCCTAGAGACTCTATTCAGAACGCAGTCATCAGTGTAGCACTGAGCTATGTATGGTTCTCTGTGCGGACTGGACACTCAGAATTTTTCCTCACATAAATTAATGGTAATTGCGTCTTCACTTGATGTAATTTGACCTATAAAAGGCGTCACAAGAATGTTGTACTTTCAGATAGCTGGGGAAATCTGTATATATGAATAAATGGCTTTAATTTCTTCCATAGCTTGTGGTGAAATTTTGTCTCACATACTTTGGGCATGCTGTCAGCAGAGCCCAGTCCTTGGAAAAAGGCATCATGTTGGGAAAGGGAAGAAGGCCTTCAACAGAATGAATGGATATAGTGACTTTATCAATGGATTCCTGCCTATTAGAGATCATGAGGATAGTGCAGTAAAGGGCAAGTTAGCAAAGCAGCAGACTAAGTGAATGGACATTATTTCTGGCATTATTTCCTCAACAAAATGGATTGATAACACTGTCTGCAGCGATAGGTTAAATTGTGCTGAAGGGGCAGAACTGCCCCGCACCCATGTGTCCTGAGTGTACTCCTCTGGCTATTTTGAAAATGATCTTCAGCAGGATTTGCTTGCAGAGGAAGACAAAAAACAGTCAACTCAAGCATCATGTGGAGCTTGCCTCACGGCCTGCCTTCAGACAACCTTGGTCTGATTCCCTGTTCTACTGCCTTTTTTACTTTTTCTACCTTAAGTGAGTCTGGTCACCACTCTGGAAGCACCCTCTCCATTTGTGGAAGGGTAAAGTAATATGCTGACTTCAAGTTATAATTAGACCACTGGGCGAAGAGGAAGGGGGCAATGATGGCGGCAATAGAGCCAGAAGTGTGGTCTTGGTAAGGCACAAGGTCCAGACCCCAGAAGAAATTTGGCAGGGGGAGAGCTGCCAGGCCCCTGGGGAGAGCCTCCTGGTGTGTATGAGGAACTTTATCTAAGCCACTTTCCTCCATCGCCTCCTCCAGTACACCTGTAAATAACATCTCCAAATCCCTTTTCTTTTTAACTCACAAGTTTGTTCTCTCTAGGTTTGCTCCCTTTCCTATAGGTAATCTGAACAGAGTCTTGTTCCAGAATCTGAACCCTGAGACCAGTTACAGAGACAAAAGGGAATTATAACTGCCAGCTAAGGAAGCAAGGGTGGATGTAGCCTCAAAGTTCAGCCAGCCACTCCCACCGGACTCACTCACACAAACACTCTGCAGTGCAGAGGACAAAAACATCATGAAAATATATTCTAACTTAACAAGAAGGCATGCAGTTTCAAATCAAGACCAGCAGTAAAGTGTTAAAGTGTTAAAGTGGGGCCCCCTTCTTCTACATCTCAATGGACCTGTTCAGCATGAAGCAGCGAGAGAGACTGCACCTCTATTCCCAAGTGGGAAACTCACAAAAAAGACAATTTGGTTGCTTAACACATTGCTGCACACTTTTAAAATTGCCAACCGTGCTTAGAAACACATTTGCCGTCATTTGCGTCAACATGGTGTTTGTTTTTTTTTTTAATCACCATTGGACTATGCCCACCACTATCCTGTCTTTTCTGGTCCCCACCAGATCTTTTTCATTTTCTTTTCCACCCACCTAATTGTGCAATGTGATTTCATCCCACCTAGCCTCATCCTTCTGCTTCCTCCCCTTACCTCTTAGATCCCCAATACATGATTTGTTTTTGGTTGTTTTTTTTTTTTTTAAATAATAAATAAATTTAAAAAAATAGTGTTGAAGCTGCTAAGAATGGTGCAGGATAGGACAGAGTTTAGATGCGTTCTTTATTGGGTCACTATGAGTTGTACTCGACGGGCTGACACTAAACAATATAATTCCTGTTCAACTTTTCCCTATACCGGGTCATTCACAATGAGTCAAAACTCCATCTGACAACATTTTAACTGTTTTGCTATCAAAAGCATTCTCCCCCCCACCCCCCTTGTGGTGTACCACTAAATCAGATTTGACTGGCACAAGAGGACAATGCCCTTCCTTCTCCAGAGGAAAATCTGGTAGATTTGAATCATGTGCCTTTAGGATTGTAGTGCAGCTAGCTTCTTACCACTAGGCCATCAGAGCTCCTATCAAAAGTATTCTTTTTTAAAAAAATCACTTTTTGTGTGTGTACGGTCAAATCAGATGTGACTGGTACAGGAAAAGATTGTCCCTCCTTTGCCTGCAGAGCATCTGGGGGATTCAAACCATACACCTCAGGGACTGCAGTGCAGCTTCTTGCCACTAGACTACCAGAGCTCCCTCTAAGATTTCTCTCTTCATCTCTACTTAAGGGAAGACCAGTAACAAGCATCAAAATGCTTAAGGAAAATTTTAAGTGTAAAGCCAATTCCCAGTATTCAAATAAATTTCTATTAAAAGAAACTCAGATTGCCAACTCCCCTCTCCTTATATTACACAAGGAAAGGGGGTCTCTGGAGAAGTTAATTAAAAATTTCCAAGTTCCACAATAATAGAAAGGTAGGGATAGTCTCAGAACCTCAGTATTCTGAGTAACAGTCCAATAGTTCCTTATTGTCAGTCCTTTGAGTAGAATTAACAGTCATTTTACATCAGCAGTGAACATGAATAAACCCTCCTTATATGCAGAACAGATTATCCGGGAGGCTGGGCTCTATGAGGAGAAATGTGGGGTCAAGATTGGTGGACGATTTATCAACAATCTGCATTATGCGGATGACACAACCCTGCTTGCTGAAACTGAAGAGGACCTGAAGCGCCTGCTGCAGAGTGTCAAGGACTACAGCTTACAATATGGATTGAGGCTCAATGTCAAGAAGACAAAGATTCTCACCACTGGACCAATTGGCAGCATCAGGATGGATGGTGAAGAGATTGAGATTGTACACAGCTTTAGTTTGCTTGGCTCCATAGTCAACAGTCTTGGCACCAGCAGCCAGGAAATTAAAAGGCGCATTGCCATGGGAAAGTCTGCTGTTAGGGACCTCTCCAAAGTACTGAAGAGCAATGGTGTCTCTAAGGTGCATCTGATACAGGCCATGGTCTTCACAATCACTTGTTATGCATCAGAGAGTTGGACAATGACCAAGGAGGATAGAAGGAGAATTGATGCCTTTGAGCTGTGGTGCTGGAGAAGAGTATTGAGAATACCATGGACTGCTAGGAAAACAAACAGATTCGTCCTGGAAAGGGTTAAACCGGGTGGCTCCTTGGAGGCAAGGATTCTGAGGCTCCGTCTAACATACTTTGGACATGTTGTGAGGAGTGACCGGTCCTTGGAGAAGGACATCATGCTTGGGAGGGTGGAGGGATGGCGCAGGAGAGGAAGGCCCTCTATGAGGTGGATTGATTCAGTGACTGGGATAATTGGGATGGGAGTGTCAGAGACAGTGCGATTGGCACAGGACAGAGCGGAGTTTAGGGCTGTTGTACACAGGGTCGCTATGAGTCGCAAGCGACTTGACAGCACATAACAACAACAAATAAACATTTTCTGCAATGCCTTCTGGGGCCTCTGGGTGTGACATCACTCCAAACAGACTTCCATAGTATAGGCTAATTTTATCAGAAAAAATACTCTTAAGGAGCTGCAACTACAATCCCAGAGGCACACGGTTCGAATCCACCAGATGCTCTGCCGGGGAAGAAGGGACTATCTCCTCCTGTACCAGTCAGATCTGATTTGACGGTACACTCACAAAAAAACAATAAAAGAAAAAAAAAGAAAAAATACTCTTATGAAATGTCACTGCTGTCTTCACATGGTTGCTTCACTTTTCAAGTTGCTACCAACCCCTCAGAGAGGCCTAAAAGATTTGTTTCATCAGTCTAGCGATTCTCTTTAGTATAATCCTATTTAAATTCTTTAGTGTACATGTGTTTCCCCCAATACACATACATACATGCTATGTTCACACTCTAGCAAAATTAATCCATAATGGCCAATACAATATTATTCTTTGCTGTATTTCTACTGCTGAGACCAGTGTCCAGCATATGCTCCATATCCAAATACTTACTAAATGAATCACCATGTTAAATTCTACCTCTAATCTATAGAAACCACCCCATACAGTGCTACATGTTCACTAAACTGCCACCATCAATCTCTTTCATCCCTGGTAAAAACACTTCTCATAGGTCTCACCTAAAACACAAATATTCTGTTTTCTAGGTCAGAATAAGTGTGCCTTGGCAGTATTTTTAAAGCTCTTCTAATACTTAGAAAAGGTTTCTGTTGGCCCATCATCCCTCTTTTGTCAAAGGCTCAAAACTGATCTTCAGGTCTGATAAACAATCAATCTCTGATAAGCTCATGAAGCACTAGTACAGCCAAAAGACCTTTATTGAGAATGTCTAAATGTCTTCTGAGATGGTTATAATATATGGACACAAAGACAGCATGATATGTAAAGATCTGGCTTGCTCAACTAGTATCTGCTTATCAATTATGTACTAAAAGGAA